GGACGCAGCACTGGCTTCAGTACAAGGAAGCGTCGGAATCATCCCTTATTCAGCCTTCTCCAAAATCAGGGTCCAGCTTGGTGACCATCGTCAAGAGTAGTGGGACGAAGGGAGAGACACTGTTCTCTATTGATACCTCGAACCCTGTTTTTGACTTAGCAACTCGAGGACACGCAGTCGCTGGTCACAGCTTATGCCCAGCCTCAATGTACATCGAATTCGCTGCTCAGAGCGCTTCGATGCTCGCCGACAAATCCAACATTATGCACTTCGCCCCCCACGTTGAAAGCCTGTCTATATCCTCCCCCCTAGGGCTTGGTGCCGATTTATTTCTCCGCCTGCGCCCTGTAGCACCGGGACAATGGGATTTTACCATCATAAGCACGTCATCATTAGATCAAACTGAGCACGGAAAAGGACGCATCAGCTTGATATCTGCCGGAGACGTCGTTGCCGAGGCACGGCTGAACCTTCTCCAAAAGATCGCCCGAAGCTCGAGCATGGATCGTATCATGGGATCTCCTGCTGCCACAGGTATAAGTGGTGGCATTGTATACCGAATCTTTGGTGAGATAGTGAACTACGCTCCTTACTACCGCGGGGTGAAATCATTATCATCATTAGGAAATGAGGCGGTGGGATTCGTGGATCTCCCAGACGACGCCCAACCGTTCAGCCGACAAAACACTTTTTGTAGACCCGTTGAGCTAGATAATTTCCTCCAGGTTGCTGGGATTCACGTGAACTGTCTATCTACTCGCCTTGCTGAGGAGGTCTTTATGTGCACTGCTGTGGACGAGGTGATCCTCACACCTTCGTTTGTTGCCTCCAAGACAGACTCGCAGAGCTGGACCGTTTATTCTCATCACGAAACTATCTCCAGGGGAAGCTTGACTAACAATATCTTCGTCTATGATTCCACGAAGAAGCTCGTCGCGGCTATCATGGGGGCGACATTTCGCAGCGTGCCATTCAAGTCGCTAGCTCGGAGCCTGACTCGCCTTAATCAGCTTATCCCTTCCACTGTGGACAAGGGAAGGGATTATATGGAGCCCCTAGCAGATTCAGGATATGACTCCAATCTTGCTACTCCACCTACTGAGGATGAGGACGAGAGCTCTTTGGAAAACTACTTCCCCGCGGAACAGGAAGTGTCTCAGAATGTTCAGCATTCCGAGGTTACCAATGATAGCAACACGCTCCAACAACTTCGAGCCCTTCTGAGCAATATAATGGAAATACCTCTCGAAGAGATAGGCGCTTCCTCCAGCCTTGAAGAACTTGGGATTGACTCATTACTTGTCACGGAGGTCCTGTCCGAGATCGAGAAGCGCTTTAAGCTCCGCATTAGCCCAGCACAATTTCAAGGATGTACAGACTTACTTTCTGTTTGCCAACTTTTGGAGCCACAGGAGAAGCTCGCGCGAACAGCTGCCCCGCGCAGTCTGGCGTCCGCCAATGGTCAGACTGAAACTGGCTCACCATCTACGCGAAGCGGACTCTTGTCAGGCGAATCAGACAATAATTTGGCCGTTGTAAGTCGGCACTGTTTCTTGGATACTAAACCTAGCTATGATAAACACTCTAAAGCGACAGGCTTTGCTGGGTTCTTCAGTGAGCCTTTCCCTATGCAATCCGAACTTGTGGTGCAGTACGTAGTAGAGGCCTTTTCGACACTGGGCTGTGTACTGAACGATATGGCGCCAGGGGATGACATTCCCATTATACCCCATGTTGACGGTCAGCGGAAGCTAGTACCTCAGCTGTATAAGATTCTTGAGGATGCGGGACTGATCACGCAAAGCAAGGACGGCCGGTTTCAGCGCTCCACTTCGTCGACCTCCACGAACCTAGCATCGAGTCTGCATAGCAGCATGCTAGCTAGATTCCCTAAGCACACATCCGAGACGAAGCTACTTCACGCGACGGGCAACAGATTGGCGGACTGTTTGTCTGGGTCTGCTGATCCGCTCTCCTTGATCTTCCGAGATTCATCTGCTCGAGCCTTGCTCGAGGATGTATATACGAATGCGCCCATGTTCAAAACAGGTACACTTTTACTCGCACAATACCTCTCGTCCGTCGTGTCACGCTTCGGAAACGCCAGGGAAATTCAAATTCTCGAGCTCGGGGCAGGTACGGGTGGCACAACCAAGGAGCTTGTCCATACCCTAGAGAAACTGAGCCCTGATCACAAATTTACATATACCTTCACCGACCTCTCATCTTCACTGGTAGCCGCGGCCCGGAGGAAATTTCCCCAATCATTTATGCGTTACTCGGTGTTGGACATCGAGAAGGTTCCTGGTGCTGAATTGCAGGGCCGCTACGATATCATAATTTCTACCAACTGCATCCATGCTACACAGAACCTGGTCCGATCTACCACGCACATTCGGCAAATGCTGCGACCAGATGGGATTCTTTGCCTTGTGGAGCTGACACGGAACCTGTTCTGGTTTGACCTCGTGTTTGGTCTATTGGAGGGGTGGTGGCTGTTCAATGACGGAAGGAAGCATGTCCTCGCCGATGAACGGCGATGGGAGAGATGTCTACAAGAGGCTGGATTTAACTGGGTCGATTGGACCGATAGCCCATCCAGGGAATCAGATCTCCTACGGGTCATTACTGCGTTTCCGGCTTCGGCTCATGACACTTCAACCAAGCAGGAGACGATAGCCTTCAAGAAGGTGGACGGCCTCGATCTTGAGGCAGATCTGTACTATCCTGACCAGCTGGCTGATTCAACACAGCGTCTTCCTGTGGGTGAGACCGAGCCTACACAACTGACCCCGAACATTGGGCGCTAACTGCAACACAGCACTCATGATTCACGGTGGCGGCCATATAATGCTGTCCCGTAACGACATCCGTCCAGAGCAAACTCAGCTGCTGTTACAACATGGCTTTCTCCCGATAAGCGTCGACTATCGACTCTGTCCGGAGGTAACACTCCCCAATGGGCCTATGGAAGACGTTGCAGATGCGCTGAATTGGATTCGCACAGTGCTGCCCACGGTCCATTTACGTCGCAGTGATATCAAAATCGATGGAACCCGCGTGGTGAGTGTGGGCTGGTCTACAGGCGGGCATTTGGCCTTGTCGCTTGGATGGAACAGTATCCCACGAGGAATCAAGCCTCCTGATGCTATCCTAGCCTTCTATTGTCCTCTAGACTATGAAGATGACTTCTGGCTACAGCCAAACATCCCAGAAGGGTCTGAAAGTGCGACAACCTATGAGCTTGATGATAGTATTTGGGTGGCTGTGCATGAGAAAGCCCTGACGCGATATAATGTCCCGCCTGCGCAACGAGCCGTGGGAGGATGGATGGCACCAAGTGATCCACGTAGTCGGCTTGCTCTGTATATGAACTGGCATGGACGGACATTGCATGTTCTCCTCCGTGGACTTGATCAGCATCGCAGAAAGGAGCCGGAGATGCCGACGCCCGCGGAGGTTGAGGCAGTGAGTCCACTAGCTCAGGTTCGTCGTGGTGCATACACTACTCCGACGTTCATTATTCATCCTAGAGGGGATGATCTTATCCCATGGGGACAGGCGCAGCGGACATATGAAGTGTTATGCAAACAGGGGATTGAAAGTCAACTACGCATTGTGGACGATGTGCCGCATCTCTTCGATATGTATCCGACGTATCAGAAGCGGGAGGAGGTACAGAGGGTGGTAGGGGAGGGATACAAGTTTCTACGGGCCCACGTATGAAAAGGAGCAATCAATCACTACTATATAGCATTGTACGTATAGTCCGCTGCAATCAGAACACAACGTCCTTGAAATCCTCGCAGAACGCCCATCTGGTTTCTGGCCGTAGACCCATTTCGCGCCAGCCATTCACTCTCTCTGGAAACATCGGGATGCGCGATCTGAGCGATCGATCATGTCCTAGAATGACAAAGATGTCGTCGTGAGCATCCAGCTCGTGAATCTTCTGCACAGTCTCCATGGCTGCCTCACGATCCGGGAAGAGCGGTCCATCTGCAACCGTGAAGAAAGGCGAACATGGACTGACGCTCGATGTAATCAGTGCCTGTAACACGTCTCCCGGGCAATGACCCTGCAAGTATCGGGGAACAGTATTGGGAAAAGGCAGATACTGGGTGGGCCGCAAAACGCCTGGATGATGGCAGGCATCGGCGCCCATCAGCACAAAAGAATCTGGCGTCGTCCGCGCAAGGGCGCACAAATGCCCAACTGCATGGCCCGGTGCATCCAGTAAATAAAGTGACCCGTTCCCGAAATAATCCACAGCATCGAACCGCCCGACTTTCAATCCTTCGTTGAAAGATATCTCACGGACAGTCCGCCCCCGCATATCACTCTCCAATACACCACTGTTCGCGTCCGCCGGCCAACCTGGCCATGATATATCCCGGACTCCGGGGCCAACGATCAGGTCGGTGGTGCTAGGGAAGGTCTCCATATTCCCGATATGGTCGAAATGATTGTGTGACCAAATCACGGCGCTGATCTCGTCACGGCGGACAATTTGGCTGCCGTCAAGGATGGAGGCAACATCTTTGCCGCGGGTGATGGTGGTGGTCGCTTTGATAAGGGAGACAATTTTCGGGGCATAATTCTCCCAGTCTTCCCGGACGCCGAGGTCAAACACAACGTGGGTGTCGCCATGGGTGATAAGGAAGCAGTACACGGGGGCGTCGAGGCCAGTGAAGCCTTCGAGTGGCGGTTGCCAGAACAACGTTGGGTTGAGGTAGACGAGGGTTTGCCTGGTCCCTGTGTTAGCTGTGTCCTCGAGCCTTTGTCTTGGTAGCTGTGCCCAGCGTACGTATCGATTACTCGCACATCAACGGTGGATGCCGAAGGAGGAATAGTCATCTTTGGGGCAGCCTTAGGCTGCGCAGAACAGCTACAGTCTGCCATAATGTCATATGTGGTTTGCCCTTACGGTTCTTACTGCGGGTGCCGCCGTCTTATAGGATACTCTATCGGAGCTCGGGTCCATATCAACTAGCACACAGATATACTCAGTGCCAAACATTCTTATCCAACATACATGGAGTAATTTCCAGCAGAAATGCCACCATACTCTCTACATGGAAGGCACTGTAATATGCTGCTAAATTCGTGGGGTCGTATACAGTTCGCCAGTCACATAAACCTGCATGCTGAGCTCTTTCTTCGTGGGATCCTCCTTTCTCCCGATCCCCAGAAAGGTAAATATACCCTTCGTATCGGACAGATTACGATGAGTGCTATTGATGTTTCCTTTAGACTATGTTTTTATAACAACAAAGGTTCAGCAAGGGAATTGAAGTGGACCACTTACAAGACACTGCGGACTTTCTCCTTCATTGGCTTGCCTCCGTCATGCCACCCATACTTCTGCAACCACTGATCCACACCTTCGCCTATGATCTCATCGTTAGCCGCGAAGTTCGCGGGGTAGAAGCAGATCTTCGGCGCTGGCGTTGGGTTATCCGTGGACAGCGAGAAGTAAATCGCGGTCATTTTTCTCTGGACCGCGGTATAGTGTGGTTGGCCACCTTCCTGCGCCGACGTAGGGTCTGGATTATAGGAGGTTAGCGACATGAGCTCGCGAAATTTCTCCTTATCCTCATCCAAGCCTGGGATCCTTCCCCCGAGGGTATAGTAATCCCAGATATCATCGAATGATTCGGCCGGATGTCGCATGTAAATCTTCAGACGCGCCTGGTCGGTGGTGACAAAGTCGGTCGCAAGATAGCGGGGACCGTTTTCATATTCTTTGGGCTTGGTGTTCAAGTATTGTTGAATGAGATCCAAAGAGCGAAGAATGTTGGGATGGGAGTCAATGTTTGGCAGTTGATACACGCCACGTCGCACGGCCTCCCATCGTGTGATTCCTTCCGCCACCGCCGTGAAACAGGGTGGGAAATAGACCTTGGCCATGACCGGGATGGCATCCGGGGTGGGAAGACGCCGACGAATATCAAAACCGAGGATCATGGGCATCTGGTACCCTGCCTGTGCGACAAGACTCCTTTGTTCCTCGGTCGAGCGATGGGAATGCACGAACCACTTCCGCAGGGATGCGTACCAGGTGTCGTCGAACCCAGGAGTTTTCTTCGCTAATGCGTCAAGGACGATCTCAAAGTTCTTGATGCCGAGAGGGTTGGCATCATCGGCTGGTCGTAGTGGGCTGACGTCTACGACAAACCGAACTGCTTGCTCCTTGCCAGAGCTCTTGAGTTCAAAACTGTATTCGAAGGGGTTGCCGTCCCAGCCGACGCCACTGCGGAGTGAATCAGCTTCGGGGCGGCCTCCTAGCTGGGGGCAGATGGTGTCTTTGAAAAAGAGGAGGAACTGGCGCTGTGCATCCTCAGGGTACTGTGCCTCTTGGAGCATGCGAGCAAGATCGCGTCCACTGGTCAGCCACCAGTAGGGCGGGGCTTCTGAGGCGGGGCTCTCGCGCCCAAGCAACTGGAATGTGGGTAGCTCAACGGTGATGGACATGGTCTGGTGAGATGCGGTTGTGGAAACAGTTTGGGTCTGTTGAACCACGATATATCCAGGTTGATAGGACGATTTTACTGGCCCTGAGTTGGCCTGGTCTATGTGACCCCAGGGTGAGGTCTAGATGCTGACATGCCCTGAGTGAAACCCCGAGTGAATCGATTACTCAGGGCTACCTGGTTGATGCACGACTAATCAGCCCTGCCAAAATGGAGGCACTTGACTCCAAATCTCTCGACGTAACGCGATCGACAACAACATGGACTTACAATCATTTCTCTGCCAGTTTCTTGACGGCCTCGGCCTGGTCGGTTGGCTCACGGCGGGGTTCGTTGCTATATTCGCTCTGCAGCTCGGTCGGACCTGGTGGCGACTACGACACATTCCTGGTCCCTTTCTGGCTTCCCTTACCAATTTGTATCGTATGAGCTGGGTTCCGACTACACGGGCGCATCTCATTTTGCAAGATCTACATAAGAAGTATGGAGAAGTGGTTCGCATCGGGCCCAATATGGTCTCGTTCAGTAATCCGGAAGCGATTCCAACGGTATATCCCATGCGCGCCGGGTTGCCAAAGGTATTCTTGTCTTGCTTCTGTATACCCCGCCCTTTTAGTCTCAGACGGTCGGCTAATTTGAAGATGTCTAAACCCACTAGAGCGATTTCTACGTGACTTTGCGCCCGTACACCAGGCATGGTGGCGCATTACACGCCGTCTTCAACACAACTGAAGAGCACATTCTCAAGCAAATCAAGACCCCCATTGCCCCGATCTTCAACATTACCAGCACTACCACCTTCGAGCCACTTGTAGATGAAGTGTTACAATGTATCCGTGATAGGTTCGATCAACGATTTGCCGCCACAGAGCAGATCTTTGACATGGGACAATGGCTGCAGTTCTTCGCCTTCGACGTCATGGGCACAATGACATTTTCCAAGAGATATGGATTTCTGGATGAGGGGAAGGATGTGGGCGGAATGTTGGGAACAATTGTTGATTTCATGAGGACCTCTGCCCCGGTGAGATTTCATTCCGAAATCACATCTGGATCCTGCGTCCCTAACAACCCCTGAACTGACGCAAAGACGTACATAGATGACACAGTCCCCCATGTTAGACAGAATCCTACGGAAGAACATCATCGCCGACACCTTCTGGCAAGCCGTCCGGGGTACCGCGTCCCTCTCGATCCTTGGCTTCGTCGGCCAGGCTATCAAAGAAAAGAAAGAAAAGTTAGAAAGAGGCGACGACAAGACAGATGGCCACCATACGGATTTCCTGACGCGCTACATCCACCTACAAAGGAATAATCCAGGGATTCCCGCCTGGGCGCCGACAGCCTGGACATTCTCCAACATCATTGCCGGCTCCGATTCGGTCGGCACTGTCATGCGTACCCTCTTATTCCATCTCTTAGTCTATCCAAACACCCTCGAAAAGCTCTATGAGGAGCTAAAAGCCGCTAGTCTCTTCCATCCCTTTCCTCGGTACAACGAGGTGCGCGATCTGCCCTACCTTGACGCCTGTGTTCAGGAAGCAGCCCGGATCCACCCGCCCTTCGCCTTACCCTTTGAACGGGTCATGCCTAAGGGTGGCGTCACAGTGCTTGGGCATTATCTCCCTGAAGGGACGGTCGTTGGAGGAAACCCGTATGTTGTGAATCGGGATCCGAATATGTTCGGCGAGGATGCGGAGTTTTGGCGGCCAGAGAGATGGCTTGAGGGGGATATCTCTCATAAAAGAAAGTTAGAAGGAAGTGTCCTTACGGTACGTACCATACAATAGGTCTTGCCCTTTGTTCTGTATGCTGATTGTGCCGTAGTTTGGTGCTGGCCGGCGGATCTGTCTTGGACGGCATGTGGGCATCTTGGAAATCAAAAAGCTGATCCCATTCTTGGTTATGACATACGATGCAAGTTTTCCCCTCATCCCAGGGTTATGAACACAGTCACTGACCAAGGGTAGATGCGGATTGTGGACCGAGAGAAATTCGAAGTGGAGAATTCCTGGTTCTTCTTCCAGAGAGGCTTCTATGCTCAAATTCAGAAACGCACCCAAGCGGCATAAAGTTGTCTATCGATGCCCTGACTACCACCAATATTGGTTGATAACGTTGTGCTTCGTTGCCCATCATTCCTAGTATTCGATTAGACTTGGTTTATCGGCCAGAAGAAATATAAAAATGCTATTCCACATTGGTTCAGTTCTTTATATGATAGCCGAATCTCATTACGTGAGATAGAGCAATGAATCCCAATTTCTTGTTGCGCAACCGCTGTAAAGCGCGTGAGCATTGATGCCACAGAACCTCGTCACTGTCTGAGCTTTGCTTGCGCAGGAGGACTCAATCTATCTCTTGAAGGGTCAGCTCTACTCCCGTCGTGGATCCCCCATATTTAAAGCATTGGCTCTCGGGGGCCACCATTGCTTTGCTGCGCGCGTCCCGCTTTGGTGTCTGGCGGTAGCATTGACAACCATTGGTGATTGTCATTGTGTTCTTACTGTTCATCTACAGCATAACGACCAAAATGGCGTCAAGCTGAGTATGAAACTAATACATCGCGAGTGCAAGACAACGATAGCATTAGCTAAGTATGTGAACCATGATCTAATTCTTTGGTGCACTTCTAACTAGCCCCAGTTGTCACACAGTCTAAGGCACACGATGCATGTACCCATACCAATGCTTACATGTGGTGGAACTCCGTTCTTTGTTAGTTAGTCTGTACTTCTATCTGTCTAGTATCTAATCTAGAGTTAGTTCAGTGCGCACTTTTAGTTGCTTACTGCGGGACTCGGAAAAGGAGGAAGGGGGGAGAGAGGGCGCTGTCCCCTCGGAGGCTCTGTGGTTCCCTTTACACTCCGAGCGGAGTGTGCACTGTACAGACATAGAAGCCTCCTCGGTTCGATGCCTGCCACGCTCTGACACAACCTAGCAAGCTCGTTCCGTTCTGATATGCCGCCCAGCCCAAAGGCTATTCTCATTACCGGCTGCTCCACCCACGGGGTAGGAGCAGCTCTGGCCCTCGAGCTCGCCCAGCAGGGTCACTATATCTTCGCCACAGCCCGCTCCATCACGAAAGTTCCCGAGAGCCTGGCCTCGTTAGCGAGCGTCCATGTGCTCCCGCTAGATGTGATCGACCCCACTTCAATTTCTGACGCCGTACGCGCGGTGGGGGAGCATGGCCATGGCCTTGATATTCTGGTCAACAACGCCGGGACAGGGTATACTATGCCTCTCCCGGATGCTGACGTTGATCAGGCGAAGCAAGTATATGAGGCAAACGTGTGGGGACTGCTACGGCTGATCCAAGCATGCAGTGACCTGCTCATCACTTCCAAGGGACGCATTATTAATATAAGCAGCGTAGGGGCCGTGGTCAACCCTCCCTGGATTGGTAACTATTCGCTTCTTCCTTTTTTTATATTCTCTTCTTCGGTCGGAGAGGACGCATGGCGTCTTAATTAAGAGCAAGATCGCTGGCAAGAATTGTATCTCGGCACCTTGTTCACCTCAGTATACTCAACGAATTTCTACGACTAGCCCCATCTGGCAATGATTCTCGCAAGCTGAGCACAATTTCAGCCAGCCGTACTTATCAGTGCACTCTGTGGATACTATCTCTCCTGCAAAATCTCAGCTTCAATCGATTAAGTGGAGTACCAAGACTGTGCGGGCTACCTGGGAGGTGAAAAACGTAGTCCTTGCAGAGATTATCAGCAGTCGAAATGGACAATCGTACTTCATAAATCCAATAGCACCGGTCAAGTTATCACCTGTGCAATCATTCCAATCCACGTCTTGTCTGCGTGGGCCATTGCATACTAATAGAGGCAGGGTGATACCTTTGAGACTCATCACATTCATGTTCATCACGCAACAAGACACTCCTCGACCATCGACAGGCCGAATGAGCTCGATCGACCATACGAGAAACGGGCGAGCTTAGGAACTAAATGTGATATAGTCACCTATAACGGGGACGGCAAGCAAAGGGGAGAAGCAGTGGTAGCCCTCTTGCAGATGTAGCACAGTTTGTTGATGCGTTGGGAATTTGATTCCGAGATGCACTGACAGTACAATCGAGAAGGATTCGCGCCCCCGGCCGAGATTGTGGGGCTGGCGGGGTGGATCGGCATCTACGTACTTAGCTAACTACGAAGCTGCAAATCATTCTTGAATAGGTGATTTCCGGCATTCAGTACGTGGTATTCTATGCTCAAACTAAAGATCCACAACTGATGGTGAATGAAGCGTTGATTTTTCCTACCAGATCTAGTGAGCTACGTGGGTTTGAAGACGAACTGTAGGCTAGATAGCTAGCAGGTAGCCAAGCGATCATATACTTAGGTCTGATGCGCAGATTAACTATGGGGTTGTTGGAGATCTACAAGGTATTGTATATATGATCCTGATGATTTAGGGTGATGTGTTAAAAGTTATCCAGAATAGACACGGATATGAATAAGCCATGCATAACTCATCCTAGATCACATGATACTACTGAATAGTCTTGGCACAATGCCTGAGGCAGGGTTCTTGATATGAATGATGTCGGAAGGGTTCTATAACAACCACGCTATTGAAATCTAGAAAGACATGTCCGTCATAGGTGGATGCGCTGAGTCTCTAAGCTATTAAAAAGTTTCGCACCCCTAAAAGCTCATAGGTCCCAACTTGTACTGCCCCTGGGATAAACAAACACCAGTCCCCCCTTGTCTAGCAACTGTCTCCCCGAACAATCACGTTCCAGTTGTCCGAATGGAAGTCCTGGCCGGAAAGCTTCACACCACCTCTTTGGCAATTGTTGAGGATTACCTGCGCTCCATCGGCGATATTGTTGAAGCTGGGAAGGGTCTTCGTGAATGTGTTCTGTTCAAGATGTCAGTACGTCTCTCCGATATAATCTGGTACGAGTCTCACATCATTGCACCACCAGATAGCAGCGCCCCATGAGCAGCTCACTCGTCCACAGTTTCCAGGTCCAGGTCCGTTAGATGGTTGCCCAGAGACCCCACGCAAGTGTTTGATACCGGCTTCGATGTCACCACGGCGTGCCTTTGGCCAATTGTTGCACTTGATGTCGTCCCTTTTGCCAAATGCCGTCACCTCCCTCTTATCCAACACTGTGGCAAAGTCATCGTCGTAGTTGGGGTTGATCTCTAACAGCTGCGCGTGGACTTGCTGGACTGTTCCATTCAGGATGGCCTTGGGTCCCCCTGGAGTCGTCTCAACCTCCCATGACGGCTCCTGAACACCATATCCAGGAATCGGAGACTCATCTAGTGCCTGTGCCTGCGAAGAGGTGTTAGGAAACGTTCTAAGCTACCGTGCTCTCATCAATTCGAAGGACGTACGGCTGCCACAAATCCCGCGGCAAGGATAGAAGCAAACTGTGTGAGTTTCATGGTAGCGACAAGATATCACAACTAGACCACCAGTTGAAAAAAAAAAAAAAAAAACCAATAATTATGAATTCTGTTAAATCAATCTACATATGTCAGTCAACGGCCACCCTTTTATATTTGGTCGATTGCTATCTGATGTAAATTCTTGTTGTTCAGCCAACTCCACTGCAATTCCTGAGAACCCAACATGGCTTCTCTTCAAGACACCCTGGCTCCATTTACTCGCCCCCAAAATGACTAGCAAAGAATCCTGAGGAAGTAATTGGAGGCCAAGACAAGACATCCAAGACATTCAGCTGGAAGATCCACATAAATCTCATCGAGTGCAACTGGATGATTTCACGAGGACTTTGCCCATGTCAGTCCTTGAATCAAGTGGACGACCATCCTCCAGAAAATACAAAAACTACCGCTCATCATGGGACCCTTTACTCCATGGTAGCATGGGACTATCTGACTGAGTCCAGCGGCCATGCCTTGGGAATCAAGACCTTCCCCCCAGATTCTCCTCCTAAACCTTGCGCCGCCAGTTCTGTGAAGGTCTGGACAGAGTGCCTAATATACTCCACCAAATCTAAGAAGATTCATACAGCCGACCGCCAAGATCCACCGGGCGGCGGAATATACCGATTGGGACATTTCCTCGCACAATTTCCGGTTTCCTGTGGGTTGATTCTGCAACAACATCGCTCCAAGTGGGGCATTTTGGAAATCCTGTTCGCCGACGTTGTGCCGGAAAGGGTCCCTTACTAGTCAGGAACCCTGGCGCCTCTGTTGATCCAGCCATACACACCGAGGCTTGGTATCACAGCGCTCCACTAAGGCTGTAATTGCCTGATAATCGAGGTTTGCTCCTTCGATAACTGGTTAGAGATGGATGGAAAGTTCTTCGATGAAGATGACCCACTTATGGAGTCCTCTCGGCCCCCAAATCACTAAGTGGGCTGCACGCTAACATGGAAACTATTTGTCTTTAGTTTCCTCTTTCCTCGCTGGGAGGTTTACGAGTTATGAAGGAACTTGTCAAATGCGCCAGATTGAAATTTGACAAGTCTAGCTTGTTGAGTGCTATCCAGGATACATCTGGCAAAACGCCAGCCCAACACGATACATACCTGCAACGGTATATAACCCTAGGGAACGTCACCTCAAGACATGGTAGCAGACTTTGGTAAAAAGTTGTGTACAAGAAAGGTCAGTTGGTTCATGTACTTCCAAAGAATCCAGTACACGGCGTCGCGTTACATTCACTACCCGCAGAGGAGCCCTGGCTCCTATCTTATGTCGCGCATTCCAGTGGAGAATGAGCTGATAGTGGACCGACTTTCCAGAAAATTATCTGCACCGGAAATAAAATCTTAAATCATAGTGCACAATATTATCTCGGTGTAATCATTAGCAAGCTGGAGAGTAAACTATCCGACTTGGGACTGTATCCAGTGAGAGAAGTCCAGGTAGATATGGTGCCTATAAGACCCTGATGTTCGTCGGCGCCGTATTAGTGCGGAAGATGATGACCAGAATTCTGGATTGGACCGAATTGTTGTAGCTGTCAGTCATCTCCATATACACGACAACATTAGGGTCGGTATTTCTGGCAAATGTGGTTTAATAGTTCCTTTAGTTAGTTCTCCCAGGACCCAAACTAGTCGAACTCTACAATGATGACTCGTCCAAGGTACTTTATCGTTGGGGTGATTATAGGGCTTCCGCTACCTAAGGTGGAGCAGCAGCCAGCTAATCACATCCACTATACTTACTTACAGAATGGAACATAGGTCTCGATTGTAGGGCTTGACAGCCTTCCAGAATCATGTTATGTTGTTTTGCAACATGTATCCACTACGTCACGCTATATACGACACAGTGGGCGTGAAGATTTGCTTCAAGTCGCTGTCATTGTTGCCTTGTCTGCCACGTGGTACTTTGGGCAATTTTTTGTAGCGCAGATCCACCTATCCTGGTCTATATCCATACATCTATGTACTTACGATAGGAGTATGACGCAATATGGCTGGCCTGGGTATTGTATCGTGGATAAGAAAGGTATGGTATGACCTTTTTAGGGTAGGAGGGGCGAAACTTGGGGGATGGCAGGGTATTAGGAAATGAACGGACCTTCGAGCTAGTACAGCCTGTGGAGCCAATCACATTAACTAAACACCCTCCTTCGTGTTGGTGGAGGGTATTCTATTCATACATTGTAATTGTTGCTCGTATTGCTATTAAAGTGATGATTATTCTGAGGAGCATTTCTTGCCGGTAGCCGAGGAGAGTGCCTCTATGTAGCTTCATCATCCCGAATGGCCAAAGCCTTGCGGAACGCTCAAGATGAACACCCGCTATTGATCTGGAACTACTCCCACTTCGCCAAACGAGAAGCGGAGGAACCTTGCAGCGTCGCGAACACCAGGGATCCAGGATCGTAAATACATGAGTGCACGAAAGCCAAGGGGGAACATTTCGACACCTGGTGCTTCTGCTAGACGGACCGATTCAACCAATTTTAAATCGGGATGGAAGAGTTCTACAGCTTTGGGATCGTCCACAGAGGAATGGAACACAGCGCCGGTGCTGCTGATGGACTGTATTGGCGTCTTCCCATTGAGGGTTTGGAGAGTGAGAGAACTGATACATTCGAAAAGTAATTCACCTCGGCGGAAGGTCTCACAGACTCGTTGTAACAGCCGTTTCCCATCCTCTTCAGGCAGATAGCATAGCAGTCCCTCCATCACCACAAGCACTGGTCCGTCAGTGGAGATTCCATGCATCCAATCCTCGTTGAGCACGTCAACTCCTAGTACCGAGTAATCTCGACCAGGCAAGGACGTAGGTTGAACCTTTCTTCGAAGCTCAATGACCTCGGGAAGGTCAATATCAACCCACCGAGTGTTTTCGCCCCATTTCACACGGTCCATCCGGCTATCCAGGCCACATGCTATATGCAGTACTGTGGTGTCCGGATTACGGTGCAGGAAATCGGAAGTCCATCGGTCGAAATGGCTCGTTCGAAGTGCGATGCTCGCCATCTGGTTCAGTGTCAAAGTCATCTTCGTGACATCGAAGTCGAGCCGCTCCAATATATCTTTAGCGTATGGATCGCCGAGAATGGGTCGAGGGGTGGAAAAGTCATAGGCTCGGGCAATCAGAGTAACGAGGAGGGTCTTTGCAACGCCGTTGAGATCAACCTTTGCCTTCTCGACCACCCTATCCTGTTCGCCCGATGGCGAAACATTGACACCTTCGTTGTTACTCGAATCATCATTTGTTCGTATAGCCATTGCTGTCCGCGATAAAGTAGTTTCTCACACTCTAGACGGACTAGCTCAACCTATACTTATGGGGGATTCCGCGACAGAGAGTTTGATTGTAAATTGTTACTATGCGACCATCAGGGTCATGACAAGTGGTGGTCTGATAATGATCGAGTTCCCGACCTCCAAAAAGCTACAGTACACTGGTGGATTCAGGTGGCAGTGCACCGAGTGGGTCTACTCAGTCCGTGAGGATTTGACCAACGATTCTTTGCGGAGAAATATGCAGTTTAAAAATTAATGAACATGTATTACTCCGTGCTCGTTTAGGACAACACGGACCAGGGATTATTAGTGTCAATATTATTGTTATGATTCAAAGGTTTCTGCACATATTTTAGCCCACCCTTAACCTCCAGTTCTTGTTCAACATTAACTCCAGCCATGTGATATGTGTCATTCCAGCATCGTGAACTCCCCATAACTCTTCCAGGAGCTTGAGAACCCACAGTGTGGGCACTAAGCGATTCGTCGAGTATACCTCTTTGAGCCTTTGCCTAATCTGATTGCGCTGAAAGGTGTCAAGTGATGTCATTTCTGCACCAGCACTCAACAGTGGTACAGCTTGGATGTTCACATAAGGTGAACTAGACTTGATTTGCAATACAAGTTCAACGATCTCAAGTGCGAGCTGGTGTATGTAGTTTTCTGTCTCCGCCAGTTTGCGGCTGCTAGGTTGACAGACCCCAGGGGTTCCACAAAAGCGGTACAGCAGGAGAAGACCATGTTTGCGGAAGGCTTCCGTGAGTGACTTGGCCATCGCGTCGGTTTCAATGGATTCGTATTCGTTCAAACTCAGCTCGGAATATACTTCAAAGACGAGGTCACGACCACCTCCATCCACGATCACTCGGCAGTACCGACCAACCTGTCCGAGGAGATGATAGAGGTCTATCGAGTGAGTGGTGATAGGGTGGAACGTATGGCGAGCTTGCTTCACGTATGTCTCAAGTGAGCTGTCTCGTTCAATGGGATGATCTATGGGGTCCAAACAAAAGGAACAAGCCATATCCCAGTAGACATAAATTCCCATGGTGAGGTGATCTAACTCCTCGTTGTTCGCATCCCTCTGCTTCAAGATCATGTCCGCTACCGCTGGTGCCGCGAGAAGGTGCTCCCTGCCATAGTCCGTGGGACCCATTGCCATCCATGACGAGGACATGCCAAGCATCAGGAGGGTAAGAAAGCACTGTGATAAGGAGCTGCTGCGGGTTTGGAGTTCCTGTCGCAACGCTGAAAGTGCCTCACCTCGTTTGGCCAGGCTCACAGACATTTCAGGCTGGTAGAAATATGCTTCCTGTGCTGCACTTGCAGACTGAAGAAAGTGGGCCAGAGATGGAGAGCCCGCCACATATTTGAGGATTGGGAATGAAAAAGGGTTGTTGCTGGAATCGACAGACAGCATCTGACTCGTCGCCTCAAGCCAGTAGCGCATTAGCCGCGGATCAACATTGGAGTCTGCGATTGGCGCAAGAGAGATGGTTTTCACGGGGGAATCCGCCAGCCACGGAACTTCGACCTGCCATTGAGCGGTGCGTAGGGTGGGCTGACAGACGGACCCTCGCCGCTGGCAGCGCTGACACACAGGAAACGTCTCATCGCACTTGACCTTTCGTTGTCGACATTCGCGGCAGCCCGAGCGGCTCCTCTGTCGCGTGGGTAAGGACTCTGGTGTATTTGGGGGACGGGATCCGATGACCGACTTGGACCTGACAGTATTGCGGCAAAGTTCGCCTGTTGAGGCGAATCGGACTCGGTAGACTGTCATGGAAGGGAGACAAATCTAGGAAATTCTTCTGCGTTTGACCTGGCAATGAATGCCTGGCCTGGATAGGCTGGGATCACCGGTGGTGTTTTTTTTTTTTTTGATGATGAGAAAGGTGTGCGACTGACTTTTGATTTATGATAATTAGGGTTCCCCGCAATGCGGGGTCATGTTATCCAGGACTGACCCAGGTAAAGACCTTTACCAGTTGGGCTGGACAGTCTGGACTGACAAAACCCCAAACTTGAAAGAGCAGTTAAATGGACCAACTTAAGCCTACTGGTTAAAGGCTCAGTATTACCCCACTTGCCTCTTTTGGCCATTAGGCGAGGAGGCTCCACTTCGGCTCGCGATGGTCTTGCGCCAAACCGTGTTATCTCTCTCTTTCTCTATCTCTCTACAAGTCCTACGAAGGTTGGAGAAAGATTGGTCACTTGCAATTGTCGTAATCGACTCGCTATACCGAGTTGGAATTGTCTGCACAGGACCAGGCAGCTGAGCCGCTGGACTCTTTATAACTATCAATGACTTCAACAACGGAGCCATAAGTCCCGGCCACCATGAGAAATGTTCCCGAAAGGATGACAAATAGACTCCAAGCGAGCATAAAATACCAGCGTAAATTCCGTTCCGGCTTGTTCCCTTTCCAATTATCGTACAGCCACATACAACCCATAGGCTGGAACGACATCAATGTACCGAACAGCGCACCAACAAGGGATACTAGGCTATTAAAGACGGGTATAGCGCTGGCGATAATATAGGCGACAAGAGTCGCTCCCAATGTGCAGCTAAGCCAAGTAGCCCAATGCTGGAACGTGTTCGCAGTCAAATGTTCACTGCCTTGAAGCAGGCGGACGAAAATGTACTTGCTCGACACCTTCTCGCGAGCGAATTAGACCACAACACCATAATGCCGATTTACGGAATACTCACATGAGAAAGAATGATTGTCGACGCGAGAAGACCAGGTATGGCTACTCCGTATGTCACTTTCTTCATAAGAACGCCGGCAGACCCGAGGGCCGGCGACGCGACATATGACCCGCAGAAATAGTACACCACCACACCGATGCTAAGGTATGCCCCAGTCACAACGGTCTGGCATATAGTGAGTGACCTAGCATAATGTTTAGGGTCGCGCATCTCGGCTACTATCGCAAAGAACGCGCTGGTACCCGAGTACGCGAAAACCAAAGTGGAGATTGCTGAAGCAGCTTCTAAGGACGATGGCTTCTTGAACAGTTCGTAGTCAGATTTCCATGGTCCCTCCAGTGGTGCACTTGCGGGTCTATCTTGGATTCCAACAGCAATAGTAAGGGTGAGGACTGCAAAGGGGTTAGTGAGATCATCATATGGCTCTACCTGCGGCTTACTGGCTCCCAAGATACTGAAAAGGCCGATCCAGGCAATCCAGCTTATGCGGCCCAGTGTACGAATACTAGTCAAGCAGAATGTTACAATGGCGGCAACGGCCACAAAGACTGATGTGCAGGTTCCGTGCATGGATATCGCATTCAAGGCTATTGAAATACTGAGCAACCCCGAACCCGAAACGAAAATCCAGTCTGATCCGGCATTAGTGGGTATCAACTGAGATGTGTCTACTAACAGGAAGTGTGGATTCTCACAAATGCAAAATGTGGTCCCCAAAAACACTCGTCCAGTGACACCAAAAAGCTTGTAGCCGACATCGTCGATAGCATAAACCTCCGGATGATTCAGCTTAAATGTCCCGACCACAAACATCGACCAAATGGTGATTGCTGCGACGGCCAAGAGACATAGCACACCTGGTATGAGACCTAAAACGTCGAAGGCAGCAGGAATGGAGGCGGCTTGTGAAGGAGAGCGTCCAAGGCACTCCATATCTTTCACCTCCATTTTGTTAGGTATGTTTAGATCCAATGCGGACACAACACCAGTGGTACAATAGAGATATGGGAGAGAATGAAGTGAACTCGTTCTGGAAGCAATTGGCCATGGTGGCCCCCACGAAGCTTTTAAGTCTTTCTCAACATGGCTCTGAGCGTATTGGCAGGATGGTATCGAGGCGGGCTGGTTCCCGAGAAGACGTGATCAGAACAGTATCCCCGCACGCCCTATAGAAGTCATAGGAATAGCGTTATCCATAATCTCCACACGAGAACTCCAGGATCGAGGCTTCGGATGTACCTGAACTTTGCCTCTTTCCTAATCGATCAATTTACCGAGCCCCACTTGTCTAACGCTGATATGGCTCTGGTTTCGCCAATCTTCGAGCAGACGCATCGTCTTGTTTTAGGACATCTGGGTCCGTCCTGCTGACCGATGTGGCTACAGATGTTATACCGAAGGCTTCTCGCTCAAGAGCTGAAGGTGATCTATTTCACCAAAGGCCTGCGTTAGACCAGTAGTATAGATAGGTCTGTTAACAGAGCATTACCCCGATCGAAAGCCAACTCCAGCTACCTTTCTTTCGCTCATCATTATCTCTCAAGCCCGAGGTACTCACAGACAAAATAGGGCTGTTGCACTTGATATGATGGTCACAATCGACGACACGTGGGGGTGTGCGCTTACAACGGCGCAAAATATCCAATTGGCAGCCTCTACACCCCCTGACAGACTACGTGCAGTTGATCTTTTCGCAGAGTGGACATCCCCAGCGCTCACTGAGATTCTGTGAATGCAATCGAATGGTCTAACCACCCCCCCGAGCTTGCCCGGTAATGGATTTGGGCCCATCAATGTAGAGATCCTGGGTGAGCCTTTGTTTTACATCAAGGCATGAAGCCTTGGGCGTTGCAGGCTATTTCTACCTATATTCCGTTATACTCAACGTTGCCTGGGCCTGGTCTAACCGTATGATAATACATGGGGGAGTGTTGGTATTAGCCTAATCTTTCGAAACGAGAGTGATATATATGTTTGTATGCGCCAAGGCGAGTTGTAGTGTGTTGAACAATTGGTCAGTGGTAAACCGACATAGAAATAATATAGATAGTTCCAACGATCGAAGGCATAGGAGCAAGTATCCGTGGAAATCTACATAGCACACCTCCAGTGACACAGATGTCACATCCAACCGACATTGAGAACCAAATGCCGGGGACTACGCCTTGTGAAACTGGCAGACTCCCGCATAAGGTGGCGATTCGGACTCATCTCCACTTGGCTTTACATTTTCCCCGCACTTTAGATAGACCAAGCGTGTCCACGTCTGCGTTTTGACACCGCGAGGCAGGCAGTCAGCAGTGTAAATACATCGGCTCTTCCCCCGGGATAGTTGCATAGTCTTGACCCATCCAACTTTAGGTGTATCCTTGAGCATTCCTAAAACGGAAGATAAGCGAGGGGGTCTCTTTATCTCCTGGCACATGGGCCTCTTAGGCTTTTTTGTACATTTCTGCTAACGGGACAGATGGTCGGTCCAGCCCCCGATAGGTGTTTCTCTAAATAACATGGTGATGTATCAGTGCCCGCATGTGACCATCGTGGCGATTATAAAGCGCACTGTTGTCTCGCTTCACCATATTCCCATAACTAGTTTCCTACATAGAGAAAGCAGGTAGTGTGCAACAAGAATGGCTCAGATAACCATCGTTGGGGCCGGGTATGTGAATTCTCTCTTTGTTCATATATCCATGGCTCACTGACGACGATGTTTTTCACTCGCAGGATTATTGGTATGGCAACTGCCTCCATCCTCTCACGAAACCATAAAGTCACAATAGTTGCGAAAAACCTCCCCGGTGACGAGCCTACAATTGAGTGGACCAGCCCATGGGCCGGTGTCAGCTTTATCGCTGGAGGTTGCGCTTCTGCTCACGAAGCCAAAATGCAACTCGATGCATTTGCTGAGCTGTGGCGCTGGAGTATTGCTTACCCAGACTCGAGCATTAAACAGATTACCATTGACGACTTTCACGACGACAAAACAGAGGAGGATATTTGGTGGAAGGACTACATGCCGGAGGTATGTTCAGCGAAATTATCTGGCGATAAAGCAAGTCCATGGACTGAGCAACCACTTGCAGTTCCGCTTCCTTCCACCAGAGACCTTTCCCCAAGGCGCAAAGATTGGAACTTCCTGTGGGTCAAGCAACAATTGAGCGAAATGGACTGAACTAATATGAGCATCAGACAAATCTCTCATTCTCCGGCCTGACATCTTCCTCCCTTGGTTCAGGAACAAGCTAGAAAAGTCGGGGGTACATTTTAAACGGATGGAACTCAAGTCTTTGTCAGACGCCCGTGGACTCGGTCATGATATCTTGATTAATGCAACTGGATTTGGGTCAGTCACGCTGCAGGATGTTCAGGATCAAGATCTCGAGATGGTCCGAGGCCAGACTGTCGTTGTGAAGAGCAGCTACAATAAACTGTTCATGCATGATACGGGCGAAACATACACCTATGCCATCCCACGCTTAGACGGGACGGTAGTGTTAGGTGGCACAAGGCAAAGGGATTCAGTGTAAGACCCGCTCATCTGATTCTTCCCCTTGTGTCGTTCATCGCTACTCACATATATACCACAGCTCTCCTAACGTGGACTGGGACCTTGTCCGGGATGTAAGCATACATTGGGCTCCTTTCCAGATAAATAATATTGACTTGAAATTCAGATTTTCAAAAGGATCAATCAGCATTTGCCGCAACACTTCTCAGCAAACCCGATGGACAATAATATAATTGGACATAATGTGGGTCTTCGCCCGTCCCGAAAGTCTGGTGTCCGCATTGAAAAGGAGCTGCGCGACGGCCAAAAGATAGTTCATGCATACGGTACGTTCCTCACGGTCATGTGTGAGTTATCATAGCGCTGAGGATATCTGACATATCATTCTTCAGGTGTTGCGGGAGGTGGTTACATATTCAGCTTTGGAATTGCACGCGCAGTCAGGGATCTCGTGGAGGAATTCCTGTTTCCTTCCCCGGAAGCTAAGCTGTAAGGTGACGCCTTCGATCATTTCGAAGGTATGTGGAGCAAATGCCCATGTAAATATTCAACTGAGGTGGTGGTGTTTTATTTTGAGCAATGAAGCGAGCAGAGAACTGTATATGGTTTACCCATTGGTGTGTCATGCAAAGACTTATTACCCGCCGCCTCTTATTCCTACTATCATAGAGGCTAAGTCAACCCTCGATGGGCGTGTAAAGCGTGTAGTGCTATGGGAACATGTACAAGGGCTACTTGAATAGCAGTGAACATTACATATTAAGGCGTATGGTGAAATTGAATGGTGATCAAATGTGATGATTGTATTACTGCATCTAGCAGACCTTGAAGGATAGACCAACATTTCGATTTCGTTTTCATCCCGAGCCAGCTCGCAGTTTAAGAACCAAAATCCGTAACTCCTCATTCTTCTGTAAACACTCAACTCACAACTTCTGCTGTCGTTCCTTTGCTAATTTTAAAATAGCATCGCTCACAGTCAAGTCAGTAAGACTTACACCAACACTTTTGTAAATGACGAGTCCCTCGGCAATAAAATGGTCTGTCTTTTCGACGGCCATGTCTCTCGTAGACTGAGGGGACAACTTTCCACTCCTCAACGCAAGAATCTCACCCAGCTCAATGACGTCCTTTGCATTGGTACGACTCTTGACAAGCTCTCCGGAATTCGTGAGGGCAAAGTCTCGATCATCGACAAGGATCGCACCATCATCCTTGCCAGTGAGGAAGTTATACCCTGCATTGGGAGCGACGGCAAGATTCAATAGTTCAGGGTCCAATTCGATCATGTCAGCCTGCCAAGAGCCAATCGCAGAGATCAATGGCTGTCGACTGCCTCTGTTGGCGACATAGCTTGCCGGGAAAAGGGGTTTCTTAGATGGTGTCGTGCAGAATATACAATCGACGTTGCGCAAGCGAAGCTCCATCGTCTGCTGGAAGTCGGGAGAATTGTTATCGATAAATTGAAAGGAGCAATTGGCGTTCCAGCGCGCGGAGTTCTCTGCAGAGACCGTAGCAATCAACTGCTGGGCTTGGTCTCTCATCGGACTGACATAGGTGATGCTCTTCACTTCCTCGCCCCTTAGCATGAGGATCAGTCGAGTATGCCACAAGGCCTGCATGCCACTACCGAAGATAATAATGTCGCCAACATGTTTCCTCCATGAGAAGGGAACCATTACATTCATCGAGGTGCGGTAGCCGGTCACTTCTTCGGAGCTAAGGAGCCCCTTCGGATAGCCCTTTCCGTCAACCAAAACAATGACGCCGTGTAGAGGGTCCTTCTTTCCATCTGGTCTAGTAGGAGGTTCGACAGTTATTTTGGTACCAATACCCGTGTCAGATGTGAAGGGTCTGAAGAGGGTGTTTTGCCCGTTGGGACGATTGGCAACGCTCGGCATAGGTTGGAATTGACGTTCACCGTTGACCGAGAAGTCTTCAAACGTTCGCTCCACCACTTGCCGAAACCCAACTGTTTCTGCTTTCGAGAGATTGATCAACATGCCATGGACCGTGGAGTTATCCAGGATTCGAATCTCGGACATTTCAGACATTCTGTAGTCTTCAGGGTTGGAAAAAATGGTGACGAAAAGCGCAGATTGTAAAATTATCTTAGAATAACTAGAGCTGGAGAAAGAGAGGAAATGCGAAGCAATTTAAGTGCTGGTTAGAAAGAGGACGGGGCGACTGAAGACCTTCGGGGTGCCGAGTAGATAGCCATGAGTGAAGCCATTGTCGACCGGTATGCGACCGGAAAGCCTCCCGACAGACATCCCAGAGGGCGGTAGAGTACACCGTACAGAGAGAATGAATCTGAAAGATGTAGAAGAGAGCCAGATTCCAGTGACATAAGAAGCCTGAGGTTTAAGTTAAGGAAATTCGGGTCCAAGTGGAGCCTCTCGCGTGTTGGCCAAAAAGGGTAAGTTTCCTTGCACTAGTTCGACGCATGGCCGGCAGCGAATTCCGTACGTTAATCTAGTAAGCATTCATACGGTAAACTTTGCTTTCCCGCCACGGGCAGGTTGCCGATCTGCCACACACGAACCCCCGTGAGGGGAAGACAGTCGGCTGTTCTTAACTTAACGAGTAACCTCACGTGCCATTTTGAAGGTGCTGCGATGAGTAGACGAGTTATGAATCGAACCTCTGTGCAAGCTAAACCACAAATAACATCCCTAGAATAGGGACTTAATTCGGAGGTCTTTATCCTATCAGAATTTATAGCCCCTTCAAGGTGTTCTAGCGGCCATTGTTGCTGTTTGGTATCTAACCACATCGCGATATGATAAGTGTCAGATAAGTTGTATTATTGCACACGTAAATGGATTGTAAAGTCTATATATAATACTATAGTACTTTTCTAAGCAATATTATTTATAGAAAAAGCTAAGAGTATCCATCAGTCCAAAGCAACGATATATAACTCGGGTTTATCTTATATTTTCTGTACTTAGAATAAATAAAAGTACTATATTAAGGAATATTAATAAAACTGATAATCAAAGTAGTATTACTCTAGAAAAAAGTAGAAATAAAGGTTAATCTTTATAGCTCTTTTTAGTACCTCTTATAATTATTAAATATCGAAGTTTTACAATTCTTTCGTACCCAAGGCTCTATCCAGGGAGTCTTTTAGGCTGGGTATTTTAATAACTATTAGCCAGATTGAGAACCTATTTCTTCTATCCTTACACTGTCTCATCACAAACATGGTTGGCCAGTGTGTGGTACGGCGATACTTGAGCGGCATCGGAACGAATCCCTCATGCGCTTGGAAAGATCCTAATATCTGCTAGATTATAAGGTTTGGCACCAAATACAACATCCAGGTTGATGAATGACACAACAGCCTGAGCAGCCTCGAGGGTAAAGGATAACGAAATAATGTGACAGTTAAGAGAGATTTCTAGACAGGCTTGTGGAACTATTCCCAATGGCCACAGTCTAATATCATCAGCGAGATATGACGGCAATGGGAAAGGGTTCTTGATTAGGAACTTGGAACTGAGGAGATAGAGCCGACCTGGCTGCACCAGACTTAATAAATTAGAGATATACCAGTAAGGCCTAGTGGTGTTGTACTGATATTGAGAGTTTTCCCGCTTCCTCGGTCCAATTCTCGGGAGACAACTAATTCTACTGCAGTATTCTATCTTAGGCGGGAAGGTTTAGATAACTAGCTCTATATATAATTGGTAATCCCTGACAGTCATATCCTTGTGGCTATCTATATAACCGCCCATGCGGAAGCTTGTTCGTAAAAATAAGATAGGTGGGAGTTTAGTGCCAAAGGCATAATAATAGTATTCGAGCTAATATAATATCCAAATCATGATATGGATCGCATCTTAAAATACTTCAACCACTCCACATAATCCCACTTCGAGCACTTCTGGCAAAAGTTATCTAATAGGGAATAGTCCAGACCGGACCTGAAAACATATCAGCATACATACCCAGAAGGAAGCCAAGATGCAACCACTACTCACATCATCCCACTTGTGACACTTCCGGCAAAAACCGTCTAATGGAAAATAGCCCAGACAGGACCTGAAAACATATCAGCATACATACCCATAAGGAAACCAATATCGAACCCCTACTTACCCTTTCCATTGTAAGTAACACTGGTACAATCATCACAATAAGCAACGTTGTAGTTCCAGCATCCCTCATCCGCAAAGATAGACATGCTGTTTAGGGGGTCCATGTCATGAGCCGTGAAGGTAAATCCATTACCGGTTACTGGGCCGATACAGGTGTTCTTGTTGGCACTGCCAGTGTCGGTACAAGTCCCCCCATTACCACATATTTGGACATATCCAGCTGACGCGGTAGCGACGAAGACGGAGAGAACAAGACTCTTAAATTGCATCTTGAAGGTAGATATGGTTCCTTGGGAGGTGAGAAATTGATAAGATTGATAAGTGATGTTCCTAGATATCTGTGTTTAGGAGGGGGATGGTTGCTGCCTTTTATATTCGGGGGATAGGGAACAAGTACGTCGTAGAATATGCCGATGCTAGGTGTCTCACCTTCGAGTCTGCCTTGAACATCTGAATTCCAAATCAAGTGCATCGGGCTTTACCTCGGGGTTCATGGCAATGTGCATACAAAGCACACGCGAGATGTTCCAAGCGAATACCGCATTCTCTATGAACAAGGACGTCGATGTTGGGGGCCAGATGTACAGTGAAGTTTCCTAGGTTGGTTATGCCGAGCCTCCATGATGCAAGTCGTCGGCACTCCAGCTGTGCCGAGAAACATTGCTCCTACCATATGCACTACACTCATCTGCTGGTTAGTGCGTAGTATCCTTCCCAGTTGGGGGCTGAAATCAAGTTGTGGAGAAGGGAGCCTGAAGGGGTAAAAGAAGACCTGAATAGTCCTCTTACCAACCTTGGCGCCATGGCCTAAATCCTGATCAGATAAGTGAAGAATCTAGATTCCTACTGACGGAATCTACGGAATCTAAACCGGAGTAGGTTAGCTCTATAGGGCATCAGTAGATCATTCCTTTTTTGGTTATTGAATACCTGCCGGTTTTGTCCTAGTGATGCCCATCTTTACTGTATTAGGGCAATGTGAGGCTGGCAGTGCTACTTGAGGATACCTTTCCGGCATATGTTTATTCAGACTCGCTGTAGGTCGCTCCGGCTAGTAGAGGGTACCTTGGAATAAAGCAATATGTTCACATATGCGGAATACAGACCACTGGGTCGAATGATTAACGGGTGAATATGTAACAGTGAGACAACAACAGACATATACTCTATGATGGAGCCGACATAAGGACTGCTTTATAAAGCGCGACAGAAATAAGCAAGAAAGTCATATCTATCAGGGTTGCCCTTAACTAATCTGCTCTATCCCTTCACCAAGCCTCCATATATATGATGTTTTCGCATACTTTGAAGGTCTTATGCCGTTAACTATTATCTCCATTTTTAAATGGTAGAGGACTTGTTGATCTCAGGATGCCGGTAATAATAACAAGCTTTCTTGGCCTGTTTCTGTGACTCTCTGTCGTTAGATGCTGGGCATTCGCCCCTTATATCTCTTGCTGGGCTGTTATCAGTTGCTTGTTATATGGGTCTTGGGGCGTGGCATATGCACTCCTGGCGTTCGGTCTTTTGGCGTCTGTTCATACTGGCAGTCATCACTACAGGGGCTTGTGTAGAATCACCGCATACTGGAGTACTGCGGCTTCAAAAATCTAGAACAGTGTCGGCTCAGTGACGTCAACGTTATCTGCAATTCCCTCGGATCTGCAAGGCCCAGATTTTTGTTCAAGGCTGGTTCGGGTATAGTATCCAGATCATTCTATACTGAAGAGAGCAACACAGGCTTCAGAATATATTTGTAATTACTATGAGTTTTCATTTATCCATATACATCATTGGGCATTATCTAATATCTAATTAGCAAACCCCAGGTAGACCATTGAGCTCAGTGATCATCATCGTTGACATAACATGCCATTGCTGTAACCTAACTACCATTTGCTGAACTGCTTACATGACAAATAAGTTTAACATAAAACATCTCATTGACTGACTAGTATCTAGCCCTTCTCAAGAATCGATTTCATTCAACTAAATTTCGTAGGGCCTAGCATATCAAGGCTTACTAGATAAGTACTTATCTTATAGGAAAGCTCAGCAGTGACATGGTACACTTTTGTGGAAGTAATCCTGGTCTAAGAAATCTCAAATTGCCGTCCGTTGTACTCGTTGTGCATGTACCATCTTTACGAATGTAATAAATTAAACTATGGATGCTGCCTCGTAGAAGCTAAACAGCACCCCGCAAGCACCCAAAGAGAAGAGGATTCTTCGCCACTCCTTATATCGGCTGGGATTCGATGTGTCTGGACTAATACACACCAATGTTGACCCTAATCTCAGCCGTGTCATCGCGTGACTGCATCTCTGCGGAAGGCCTTGCGCATATGAGAGTGTTGACGCGTGCCTATTTAGGCCTAGCGCTGTTGTCCTTCCCGAGCGATTATCTTCCCACTGTCATGATAGATTCAAGCAACACAATCAATCTAATCAAGGAATTCAGCCTACATGACCATTGGATAGATTGTGTATTAGAAACCAAAGTCAATGGGGTGTGTCTGTGGGACAGGTGCTTGAGGTTAGACGAGAGCAAGAAGATAACTATTATATATCTCAAAGCTATAAACATGCCTTTTCGAGGAGGCTTCACCAATTTATATGCTATAGCACCAGAAACCACCAGCCTTGTATTCACTGCTTTCATGTAATATATCTAATCAATACGTTCAATAAACGCATGGTTCGGGAAGTTCGGAGTCTTGATTAGGTACATCCCAGAAGTGCCGGGTGTTGGGATAACTTCATGACAGATGTTGACATGATTCCAGAAAAGACCTTTGTACTCACGGTTCTCCTGTCTCTCACGCAGGATCTGAACAATCGATCCAGGTGGGCAGTGTCGGTCAACATACCAATGACCCTTGACGAACATATTACAGTTGACCCGCCACCTAGCGGTGTTGCCAGACGATGTGGTCGTTGTGAATTCCCTTCCACCGTATTGGGGGCAGATGTTATATTGTGGAGTAGGACCGACGTCCGCCAACCGTGTTGCGACATCGCTACCGTCATGCGAGGCGGTCCCTCCAGCATTTGTCTCCTTGAGTGCGTCAAGTGCTGTCTGAAGCTCTGCTTTCTCAGCCTCAAGCTTCGCTTTCGTCACCCCCCATTCCTTGGCCTGGTTGGACTTCTCAACTTCACACTTGTTTTCCATATCATTAGTGATATCGGCCTTCGTCTTCTCCAATTGAGTCTTTAATGCTGAGACAGCACCGGAGGTCTCAACCTTGCACTTGTCCGCCATCCTCTTTTCACATCCAGCTTTCTCTCTCTGACCGATTGTAGCCTTCTCTGCTTCACACTGAGCTTTTGATTTCTCAGCTGTACGCGCAGCCTCGGCGATCCTCCTGTCACACTCAGTCTCTTGGGCCTGACCGAGGGTAGCCTTCTCCTGCTCGCATTGAGCCTTCAAGGCATCGGCAGCGGCGGCAGTGTCGCCATTGCACTTCTCAGCCATCTTCTTTTCGCATTCTACTCTCCCGGTTTGAGTGAGCGTAGCCTTATCTTCTTCACATCGGGCTGCGGCCTCCTTTTCGCATTGAGCCTTAGCTGCCTCCACGGGCTTTCCACAGCCGCCCTCCGGCGCAGGCTCATCCACTGTGCCGCCCGTTTTTTCCATCAACAAGAAGTTGTTACCTGAGGCAGTGCTATAACCCTGAGTAGTCACTAAAAAGCACTGGCCTCGGGGAGTCCATGATGTTGCCAAGCAATCAGTGTCGGCAGCACAGTGCTTCGCGCATCCACGAGCATCCACACCTTTGATTGGTGTTTTATTGGTTCCAGTGGCCCAGCGTCCACAGGAATAGTTGAACTCGACCCCATTGACAGATCCTTTGCCGGATGTGCTTCCCCCAGAGCAGCAGGTATCATAGGTTGTTCTGTAGTTGGTGCTAGACAAGGAGAGACACCCAGTTCCACTTGCAGAGCCCAAGGGGGCCTGAGTAGCCCATGTTGCACTCGCAGAGAGGAAGATAGAAAGCAAAGGTGGACTAAAAATCATGATTCTCGTCCTCTTCACAAAACAAGGTGGGAGAGGCTAAACCGGAAGAGAAGGAATATGCAGCTATGTATCGTGGGTGTTGGGCGAATACCCTAGTGGAAATGGTTCCGAAAATATACGCCGATGGCTGTTCGGTTCCAATATCGAATAACCACGCTGCACATCGATCATAGGATGTTATGGACTGACCTATAGCACACACCTTGCTAGATTAGTAGTAGCTGCGCAATGGTTCGCACAGTAGTGGGACTAGAGGCAAATGTTTCGGAGCTGCGCATGGGTGTGTGCGTGTGATAGGTACATTCAAGACTCGGATCTGCGCCTCTGCGATGATCTGCACCCCTCTGGAATGCAAGCTACTACTCCGTACGTTGTCGGCTTTTCAGCTGCCCCACAGTGCGCCTGCCGGAGTAAATTAGAAGGGTGAGGAGCATCAGACAGCTCTGGGCCCTTTCTCAATTCCTGGTCACTAAACCCATATTTGAGTGTGCTTACCGGCCTTTCCCTCTAACGCTGCCTGTAACATCACTCAGCCTTCCAATAGCAGAACTGAAGATGGGAATATGCCCGGATAGCCTAGTCGGCGTAACAGGATTGAGGAAAGGTTTGTTCCGTGTGGAATTAGAAAAGCTGATCTTCATTTCGCATGGGCTGCCACGGTCATGGATAGAGCCCGACCTTCCCAGCTCATATCATGCAGATTATGTAAAAGATGATCGTCAATCAACCTACTTAGACTCTCGGAGTGCTTCGAAGTTGTTCAAATTGATTTTCGTGGGTTCTACCAGAGCCACCAACGCGTAGAGGAAGGTGACCGCCAGTGTCAAGAACGCCAGAGATCTTCACGCGAATTGAATAAGGTTCAACTAGCCTACAGCTTCGAGCTATTAGTGTTTGCGAGCTGAGTCGCTGGTGGAAAAGAAGCCCCGAGAGAAGGGTACCTCCGACCTTTCCGCTGTCAGTGACGGACGGTGCATAACCATCCAGCGCCTTCTTGAAGCATTAGCTCCGGCCTGCTCACTCTTCAGCTTTCTTCTTTTGGGCTACTGTGATCCACATACTCCATAGGGAACAAATCACGCAGGCTACTAGTTACCGAAGCGAGTTCAGCTACCCCACAGGGGAGTGGAGCCATCCGAGCGATCTCAGCCCGCCACGAGATTCCCGGGGAACGGGATGAAGTTCAATTCAACTTGCCGTGGGGTAAAATCTCTGAAACCTCTAGTATTCATTTGTTGGGAGAATTATACGGGCATTTGACTGAATGGAGATCTGATATATCTATCTACCCTGTACAAGAAGGGCAATCACTAAAGAAAACCTTAAAGGAGACCATCCATCAAAGGTGGATCTAGTGATCGGGGTAGTAATAAGGCATTAGGGTCAATGCACCTAGTTAATCTGCAAATCAATGCTGTTTATAGAATCTTGACAAATACACTATCCTATTAAATCTCTTGCGTCACTTTAAAGTGCCATCTACACCAAAATCTGCCGCACCACTATGGTCTATTCCAGGATCTACTGAGATCTAAGCCTAGTGAATTGAAGTTCAGTTCGCCACACGACCCCTTTTGCCTTTACCTTGCAATGATAGTCGCTTTTTAAGTTCCCGGCTACGACGCAAAGTGGGACCTAATACATTTTGTGGGTCTTAGAATAGGCCGCTGCCATCCTAAACAGAGCCAGGTTGAATCTCATCTCTTGAGCTGCAAAGCACACAGCAGTGGAAATTGCGGATATAAATGGGAGTACCGCCCTCTGCTTGCTTTCTTTATTGCGGATTGTTATTGATTTGTTCTTCATAGTGGTCATCATGGTCAAAGCAACCGGGCTGTTCGCCCTCCTCGTCGGCATCTCTGCATACCATGTAGAGGCCCGAAGCTCCCCCCGTGGTAAAGCCAAGTATACCTTGGATGATATTCATCCACTGACAGACCCGAGCACCGGCCTTGTTAAGTGTTGCCCCGAGGGAACCGAATTCGACGGCAAGGCTTGTGTCCTTGGTGTCCCTACCTGTCCTGAGGACTTTATTCGCAAGGACAACAAATGTGTCTCAAAGTTCAAGCCGATCTGCCCCAATGGAAGCGAATATGACGGCAACCTTTGTGTCTCTGATGGTCTCCCAACTTGCCCGCCCCCTACCACGCTGAAGGGTACATCGTGTGTAGCCGGAGCACCAACCTGCCCTTCGGGCCTTGAGTACAACGGCAAAGTATGTCTATCGAAGCAATTGCCGGCATGCCCTACAAACTACACCTTCAATGGCAAGACCTGTGTCAGTGTCAAGAAGCCCCAATGTCCCGAGGGCTTGAAGCTTGGCGATGGGAAGTGTATCAGTGTCGGCTCCCCGGTCTGCCCCGCTGGCACAGAGTATAATGAGAAACTTGGAGTCTGCGCTTCGGTTGTTACTCCTGTGTGCGAAGAAGGGAGCCAGGTCAAGAACGGCGAGTGCGTATCTGATACTCCACCATCATGTCCCGAGGGCAGCACCTTCAACCCTAGCACGGTAAAGTGTACCTCGACCGACAAGCCTAGCTGCCCTCCGGGATCCGAACTGGACCTACACTCTCAAAACTGTGTACTGAACGAGGCGGCCGAATGTCCTCCCGGTAACCTCCTCTCCACTGATCTTGCTTCCGGTGTTGCCCGCTGCTGTCCTAATGGTATGGCTTGGAATGGTGACGTCTGTCTCTTTGAAACAGATACGAGTGGCAAATGCCCCCCAGGCCTCACCCAGGTGGGCAAGTACTGCCAAAAGCAGGCTACCAAGATTCCCCAATGTCCTCCTGGCGCGAAGCTGGATGGCAGCCGCTGTATTCTAACTGAACTCCCCGAATGCCCTCCTGGTCACATCCTGGAAGGATCCACTTGCTCTATGATGGAGAAGCCTGAATGTCCTCCTGGTTTAACACTGTCTGGGGAGAACTGCATTTCTACCGTTGAGATTAACTGTCCGCCCGGAACCAGGTTCGAGAAGGGTGTTTGCACTAGCGTCTCTCAACCCTCTTGTGAGGATGGATTCGTTTTTGACGGAACTAGCTGCGTCTCTACCACTCACACCCCCGTTTGTGCGGAGGAGGGCCACACCTTGGACGGCGAGGAATGTCTTATTCCGCAGATCCCCACCTGCCCTGAAGATACCACATTCGATGGTACCCGTTGTGTTTCCACCAGTACTCCTTCCTGCCCACCCGGCTCCGTCCACAATGGCAAGGGCGACTGTCTTACAAGCTCCGTGCCTCAATGCCCTCCTGGGTCTACTTTGCTTGAAGGTGGCTGCGTAGTTGGCGTTCCTACCTGCCCCAAGGGAACAGTCTGGGACTCGAAGCAGTGCATCAGCCCCAAGGATCCCGAATGCCCACCAGACCACAAGTGGAGCAACGGAAAATGTCTCAACCTTGCGACCGTGGAATGTGAACCCGGCTACGCCTTGGTAAACGGCGAATGTGTCTCCGACAGTAAGCCAGAGTGTGGCCCAGGAACCACTTTCAACGGTCAGGAATGTGTTGGTGAAGTACCCAAATGTCCTGAAGGGCTTATCTTTGACGGAGAGGAGTGTGCCCATCCCGAGGAACCTGCTTGCCCCATTGGAATGAAGTTCAACGGCAAGAAGTGTGTAGCGGAGAAGCCGCCAGCGTGCCAACCTGGCACCATCTTCGACAAGAAGACGAAGGAGTGTGTGGCTGTTGAGCCACCTCAGTGCCCCCCTGGTCAGGTCTTCAATGGCAAGAACTGTGCCCTGGCATCTGGTGACTGTATGAGCTTCGAGTACTGTCCCGTTATGGGCGGTCTTTCCTCGGGCGGTCTTGCTACAGGTGGCCCTTCCACCGGCGATTCAGAATGCCCGGAAGGTACTGTGTATGATAAGTATACCGGCATGTGTGCAGATTGGTGAACTTGGATGTGAGCCTTCTGATTTGTATATGAGATGGGAGTAGTGCTAGCTAGAGCAAAGGCTCTTCTGTATTCATGAATATTTTTTTTAGCGTGCAGCATTGATCCTCAATCGATCCTCACCACTATGCTATGTCTACTGGCGTATAGTATTATGAACCTGTTTCTATTCTAAGAGTATATGTAATGTCAACAGTATATTACTGGTATTATTCGCGGGTTCAGCGGGGAAGCTGTGCCACTCTAGTTAGAATTAAGAGGAGTCCAAGTAGAATTCTTTTAAAAGAAATACGGCTACAGAAATTCTGTCCTCCATAAGATACGGCGGGGCTGTCGCAAGCAGCCCACATGTATGGGGTACAGATGAATTCGGCAACGGCAATACAGCTTAAAATAGCAAGCAAGGAGGCTTTGTTCACTTTTGCCTGAGAGTATGCGGCAGATATCCAGCGAGGAATAATGCTATTAGCTGCGTAGAGTCGGGTTGAGAGCACGCACATTGCAACTAGGAAACATTAGTTAGCGGCCCTGAAACTTAGTAGGTAGAGACTTATACAGTATCGAGCACTGGTATTCAGGGTAGCACAGCTGAGGACGAGCACGAAGACTGCAACCGCTTTGGCAACTGTGATGTGCCTGCAGTGAAGTCAGCATTTGAAGGGCTTACCAGGCGGCGATTCAAGGTATTCCCGATGCATTCGCCATTCCAAGTCCTCGTCCCCGCTGTTACAAAATATCGAAAGATGTTCCCCTGGGACCCGTCAGCGATAGATAGTGTGGTTGTCTATGGTGGGCTGGGTGTTATGAGCCCTTCACATCATATCCCATGTTGGCCAGATTATTCGGTTCGACGCACGACCAACTGCCAATGGTATTTTGGTCGAGCAGCTAAATGCCTCGACATCCCACGCTAGAGACACTAGACCACGCGCCGTACAGCACGCCCTTCTGTATTGCCAAGTCACATGTACTGGACCTTGGTGATCCGCTCCTGATAAATGGTCGAGTTCGTGCAAGTCCTCGACGACCCAGAAACATTATTGGGTAATGTTGTTCTGCGCCTGAAAGACGAAACAATCTACCACGTTTCTCCGTCATTTGATTCGCAGTCAGGGTACCGCTGTCATCGGGGCTATGTTCAAGCTATGGAACGGAAATATCAGAGTATCATTGCACGTTTTGAGATTGATGACGAAGGGGTAGACCTGTAAGGCGCAGTGAATCGTATTCGCGTGTCAAAGAATGTAAGGCAAATATACAAGGAGGTCATGATGGCTAACTCAGTTGCGGTGCGGAATTTTGTATGAGTTCAGAATTTGCTCCGTCAAGAGGCAGATTATATGTCCATAGGTCTGACAATACTAACCCTATTATGAATCGAGGGTGATCAATACAAGAAAGAAAGCTGGATAAGAGAACAGAACTGTAAGATTCCAGGGTCACTCTAATTTTAACATTCTTATTAATGGGAGTGCTCAGTGGCAGGACATTAGGAGACAGCTGAAGCCCAGTGTGCCAGGTGGAGAGGAGGGGGAGGGGCAATGCATTTGTGGTGGTGATTTTCGTGCAGGTAAAAAGCCGGCTGTTCTGCGAGACGCAACTGTTTCCGAGGTTATATGGTGTTGAGATGCCTACTCCGGTCTCTGGGTGCGGAGACTCATAGCGGCTACTTCGCAACAACACTTCTCCTCTGGGAACTGTGACCAACTACGAGGGACGGTTTTGGCTGGTTCTGCCAAAACATCGACCATGTAGGAAATCACGGAGTCGAGAGATCCAGTAAGCGTTGTACCAAATAGAAATTCTGAATTTATCTCATATCCGAACACTCCTATATATAGCGTGGTCTACGCACTCATCTATAAGATCCCACAGCGATCCGCAGACTAGTTCGCGTGGCCTACCAAAATCCTCTTATAGTTTGTTTCAAATTGCCCTGTATACGTGATGTGAAGGAATGTCGTGGCCGGAGATACACGTAAACGTTCCATATTCCCCAACATGGAATGTGCAGGATGTTCAATACGGATTTACTACGGAGTCACGGCTATATACAGTGGCTAGTATGATAGCAGGTTTCATACTGCAGGATGGGCGTGTTACGTTTGCGACGTAGGGGACGTCCTTGACGTCCTAGCAGTGTGCTTGGGCTGCCAGAACTGGGTTCCATGGTCCGGACGCGCGTTTTATGGTTCCTGGGCAGCATTAAACGATGGGAAACAGAGCAAATGAGAGGAGTAGGAGTGGCGGTCAAAACTTGGCATGTTTGATACCTGCTGTTATTGGGTACTCGCATTCCTTCCTAATGAAGGTTGTTCTCCCCTACTGCTCAAGCTTCGCAAGTAGTTGGAACTGTATCCATAGGCCATCATGTTAAGCGTGGTGATAGACTGGAGCCACCTACTGCTTTTGTGGGTGCCAAAGCAAATTATCGAGGAGATACAATAACTTGGTTTTGCTGAACAGGATCGTATGGAGCCAACGGGGATGTGCTAGTACTTGACGAATAGTAATTCCCCCTAAGATACCAGATGCTCTGTGCATGAACTCTAAGGGTCCCAGACCCTACCCCGCATCTCCGTGATAGTTAAATGCCGGACCCTACTGTGGAGCAACCTAAATGCTCGGCACTGCCAATCATCACTTGTTCGTGTATTTCTATACTAGGGTGCTAGATATTCTGTGCGGGGTTCCCCGTATCAGGATCGTCAGGAAAGCCTAGCCCTGATCTATGTATGGATTGGCTCCAAAAGACTCGCGGTAGGCAGCTCCACCATTGCGGCTATCTACCCCGTGGGGTAAATGGAGTGAAATCTAACTAGGAGGGGTTACGGAGTAGGCTCTTCGTTTATGGTAGCTGCTATATGTCCTAGACTGAGTGGCAATGAGGAGGTATAGCCGCTGGGCCGAGGGTAGCTATGCAGGTCTTCAATACTATGGGGGGGTGGCAAGACTACTTGAATCGCTGATCAGCTGGGAAGGGAAAAAAGAAACTAAGACTTGTAGATTCTTTTCTTTTGACATAAACTCACGAAAGGCTCCTGCATATACTCTGCTAGAATGAAGAACAAAGACAGCTCAGCAGAAGAGATTGAGGATGCCGGTTCCCATCCACTTAAGGACATAGGTTTGATGAATGACGGAGACGTTGATAGTGTTCCACAGTGGGCTAAGGAGGAGGAAAAAAAGCTTGTGTAAGTATGCCACTCACTGTTCCTGTTCATAGATGGACTAACAACTGCTTAGGCGAACAATTGACTGGCGCGTGTTTCCAATGCTCTGCACCATCTTCGGACTTTCACTATTAGACCGAACAAACATATCCTCCGCTTACATTGCCGGCCTCGGAGCGGATATTCAGCTTTCTCAAGGGTGGGTTATACGGATGGACCACAGCATTGTTTGACCCTAATGTTTACAGATCACGATACAACATCGCTCTACTTGTCTTTTTCATTGGTAGGCACAACACGTCCTCGTGGGGTGCCAGATACATCTAACCAATTTCAGGATATGGCTTATTCGAAATCCCATCGAATCTCGTCATCCGCCGTATCGGTGCCAGGGTGTGGCTGAGTTTCCTGATTATATCATGGGGCGCTTGCGTCCTGGGGATGGGCTTTGTTCATAGCTGGAAGACCTTAACCCTGTGTCGTGCGTTGCTAGGGATCTTCGAGGCTGGACGTATGATTCTATTCCCAATGATATCACCTACATACATTAACATGTGGGCAGTCTTCCCCGGTGCAGTCTTCATCATCGGATCCTGGTACCGGCAGTATGAGACGGCCACGAGGGTCTCACTGTTCTATATGGCCGCGCTAATTGCATCTGGATTCGGGCCGATCCTGGCCTACGTGTTCTCCTTGATTCGAGTTGGCGATGGAATATACACACAGGGCTGGCGGTGGATATTTATCATCGAGGGAATTGCGACCATTGTGGCCGGGATTGCCGCCGCGTTTTTTCTCGTGGAGTGTATGCTCTGTTTACCTTACACTATTGAGCCCTGTGAGAATCAAGGCTGACCTTATAAAGTTCCCGATAAAGCAAGCTGGTTGACGCCCCGACAGAAACAGATTGCGATCGCTCGACTATCCGTCGATAAGTTGGAGAAAGAGTACAAACACCCCAGCTTTAAGGAGGCGATGGTGATGATCTGGGATTGGAAGATTATCGTTTTGTAACACACTCCCACCCCTAACTCCCACTCCTTGTCGTTATATACTCATTTGATCTCATGGATATAGTTCAATCCAGTACTTCATCGCTGCGTCAAGTGTTTACTCCATTGCCTACTTCAAAACCATCATTCTCCGAGAAGGAATGGGCTTCAGCTACGCCCTATCTCAAATACTCTCGTCACCGCCATATGTATTCGCCGTAATAATGTCCCTGGTTATGGCCTGGCTGTCAGATAAGTATAAAATTCGCTGGGCTATCCTGGTGGCCCAATCGCTTTCCGCGGTTGTTGGGCTCCTCATCACGCTCTACAGCGGACCACCAGGTGTTCGTTACTTCGGCCTATTCATCGCCGTGTTCGGAACACAGGCGAATATACCAGGGACGCTATCATATGGGCAAAGCCAGATTCCAACTGTGGAGAAACGCGGTGTTATCGCGGCCGCGATGATATCTGTAGGTGCTGCAGGGGGGATTGCGGGGTCCACTATTTTTAGGACGCAGGATGCGCCGGTGAGTGTCCTCATAGCGCTTTATTATTCTTTTCCTCCACGTTGGCACTAATCTTGGTTCTGCAGAGATATCTCCCTGGCATGTGGGCCACGATTGCGATGCAAATGCTATATACCGTTGTCACATTGGTTTTTTCGTTTTACCTTAAGCGACAGAACCGCCTGGTGGACGAAGGGAAGCGAGGTGACCTGGAGGGCGTGTCAGGGTTTCGATACGCGCCTTGAGTTGGTTTTCGTAATATTATGAAGGTGTGAACAAGCCACAGCAGACGAAATACCTCTGATACTCTTTGGAAGCCTGGAAGACGCAGCGGCTATTGAGAATTTATCACAATGAACACATAATGGCTGGCATCCTGGAGGTCAAAATTGGTTCCATTTTATCGAAGTTTTGGTGACCTCTAGAATTAGGTTTCCACGCCGAAGTAACCCTCAGTCAGCGCCCCGTCGGCCATATTTCGTCTCGCTTTGGTTTTCTTTTTTTGAGTAGTTAGTTGAACCTGGTTCTCGTGTATTTAGTGTAGGGTAGCAGCTGGTCTTTTCCATCAGGCGTTAGTACTTTTGTGGTTGTAACCTCGATTACGTATGTGATTTCCGACATTCGCACTTGCAATAAAAGCTGAACTACGAAGAGGTCTCAGAGCAGTCACAAAATATAACCTGCGCGTTTTCCGCCCAGATTTGGGATGCTGGGTACTATTCCACTGTGTGTTGCATGAAGTCGCACATTCCGGATTGTTCACTTTTCTTTATCGCTCAGCTTACACAATCATAAACGAGCAGTAGACCTACGAGGAATATGTTGTTCTTCTAGTCGGAATGCGTAGCTATAGCAGTGGCTAATGTTGGCCTTAGGAACCTCCTGTACAAAGAGCACGCATTTTTTAGACATTAGACTAGCTTTAGTAAATACAGCTTTTATTTTCTTTTTTTAAAAAAAAAAAGAAGAAAATCTATATTAGTCTTTTGCTTGCTATAGTTACTTTACAATAGAAATAAATACTTAAAGCTGATGTTAGTTTAAGAATATTCTTTAATTCGATTTCTAAGACTGGAAGCAATGTATAATAGACGAGCCAGGGATCTTGGTCCGTGCTCCAAGCAGCTTCTTCAGCGTAGTTTCCTGCGTTTATACTTCCTAGATGTTTTAGATCATAATATGTTTCAGATATTGAATTAGTAGATCTATGTACTACTAGGAGTTATGAATCTCTAGCACCACTAGAGCATCAAGAGGGGATGATCTTTCTAGGATGTTGTCCATATTCCCCGATGAGCAAGCGGTCTTTCTTCAAAACGCGAAAGATGGAAGCTGGTGTTTCAGAAAGGAATCCCTGTTCGATCTTCTGGGTCTAAGACCTAGCGGGATTTTGGCACGACAGGGCCATATATATCTGGCGCAAACAAAAGCTTCTTTCCTCTCGCTCTAAGCTGACTACATTTTCAAAGAATTCACATGATGAAAAGTCTAGAAGGTGCTCTGCTAAGGATTCGTGATAGACTGGCAGCTTTATTGGACTTTCAATCTATGGAAGTCTGTTATAGGCCATGGCTGAGCTATCAGGAAATTGATACAAGCTACCAGGCTTCCTTTTCAGAAATGCAAATTTGTACATGGGGCGCCTTATGAGTTTTATATCTCTTCGCTATAGAGAGCATGGACACGCAACTGCCTCCCTTTTCATGTTTAACTACATTCACTTCATCGCATGTCATGTCTGGTTACCTCCACGGGCGTAATCGGACCGTTTTTGGGATGTCAGATTGTCAACCCACTAACATCCCGCAAAGTTGTCGGATTCTGGAGAGTCACTCAGCGTGCCGTGCAGCGCCGGGAACCAGGGCATTGGTGCGCCTCTTCGTCGCATATACGATTAGCTCCGAGGAATCAACCTGAAGCATGTATAGCGTGAGATGAGCTCATATTGGACTAATTCCGTTATTTTTGCCGTTAGGCAAGGATCTCGTGTGGGAAGGTCCCCTCCCAACTGCATAAGGTGTTATTTGATAGGTGTCGGTTGTGTGAGGCCATTGCATCCTTGGCAAGCCATTTCGCGGATGCCGAGACTCGCTCGTAAATTAGCCCCCAAGCCCTAAGACTTCCTTCGACTAATGGTAGGAGAGAGTTATATTACCACATTCCTTCCGCCAAGGATTTCTCTCCCATTGCCAAGGGTTTGTACGTCATGGATAGCTGGTCCTGATTGTGATTCCGAAAAGTACGAACTACTCTTTTGGTCTAGGTACCATTTAGCCTGGCAAGCCACTTCCCCAGGCCGGCCACAATGTCATGTCCAATCCCCGCAAAGTATAGCGTCTTTCCCCGTATCTTGGCCCTTGTTATATCCTGGAGAAATTCTGTGATCTCGGATTACCGCATTGATCAAGCCGAGAGCGCGGATGGGGGGGTGGTTGAATACTACATTTAAATAACTATTACTAGTAGCTGCGCGCTCTCTCGCCAGGTCCTAATCAATTTTTTTTTTGTCCAAACTTCAATTCCGGCCATATGTGCTGTACTTGAACAACATGTTTGGGTTACCGAGGTTCTTTGGATTTAGAGGCAGACAGCTGAACCTGGCTATCAGCTCGCTGGGCAGTCTTGATTTCTTGTACGGCGCCGCCTTTGTCGCATAATGTCAGGTCTCGCAACTGATTGGTGTCGCAAACAGGCTTTTCGGATATGATCAGGGTGTCACCGGTGGTCTGCTGGACCTCCCGTCCTTTATCAAATACTTCCCCGACATCAATGACAAAGCTGAGGGCATCGACCAAGCTTTGAAATCGCAGCGCAGTTTGAACCAGGGCATTGCCGTCGCATCTTACAATTTGGGATGCTTCTGTGGCTCCATCTTGACTATCTTTATCGGAAATCCACTCGGTCGACGAAAAACGATCTTCCTCGGTTGTTGCACTATGGCGACTGGGGCTTTGTTGCAAGCAACCGCGTTTCATTTGCCACATTTTATTATCGGTCGGATTGTCACTGGTATCGGGAATGGTATGAACACGAGTACGGTGCCCACATGGCAGTCAGAGTCAGCCAAAGCCCATGATCGTGGTAAGCTGGTCATGATTGAGGGTATGCTCATCACTGGAGGCATTACACTCAGTTACTGGATCAATTACGGTGAGTTCCACCTAATTTACTGCCACATAGCAGAAGAATAGCTCATAGCTGTGGGTTAGGATTTTCGTTTATCCCCAATAGTGAGGTGGCATGGCGTTTTCCACTCGCCTTCCAGATTCTCTTCGCTGTAGTGATTTTTATCTCGATTATGAACCTGCCCGAATCTCCGCGGTGGCTGGTGATGCAGGGCCGCAACGATGAGGCTTTGGAAATCCTTGAATACCTTAATGAAAAGCCACGTGACGACCCCTATATTGTGAACGAGTTCAGATCCATTCAGGAGACCGTTAAGGAAATGTCGAAGGGCTCTTACCGAAGTTTGTTCGATATGAGCGAGTACCGGGAATTCCATCGCGTGGCGCTCGCTTATGTCAATCAGATGTTCCAGCAGATATCCGGCATTAATCTTATCACGTACTATGTGAGATATCGCCTATGCTCCTGATATTTGATACATGGGTACTAAGACAGTTTCTTAGGCTCCCTCTCTGTACAGCGAAATTGGTCTGGGCGAAGGCAATTTGCCAAAGTTGTTGGCCGCCTGCAACGGCACCGAATACCTCATGGCTGCATTTATCCCGATCTTCATCATCGAAAAAGCTGGACGTCGGCCACTCATGCTCTTTGGAGTACGTAGTCCATCCCCTGTTTGTCTCTTGTAGTATTGCTCCTGCTAACACCGATCGTTCCCTTAGGCTGCGGGCATGTCTATCTCCATGGCTGTGCTGGCGGGTACCAACTACCGGTTGACACACCTCGGTGACAGCCAAGCCGGTATTGGACAGGCCGTGTTCCTCTTCGTCTTCAACACCTTCTTTGCCATCGGTTGGCTAGGAATGACCTGGTTATACCCGGCTGAGATCGTCCCACTGCGAATTCGTGCACCAACCAACGCACTAGCAACCAGGTAAGAGCCTATCTGGCATCACAACGTGAGATCTTAACATTACAGCCAAACTAAACGAGTTATAGCGCGAACTGGATCTTCAACTTCATGGTGGTTATGATTACACCGGTATCATTCACCAATATCGGTTACAAGACCTATGTCATTTTCGCTGTTATGTAAGAGTACCATGTGTCCGCGAAAGTGGTTTGAAACTGACAGTATCAGAAATGCATTCATGTTCCCCTGTGTGTATTTCTTCTTCCCAGAAACACGCTACCGTTCCCTGGAAGAGATGGACAACATCTTCAAGAAGTCAACCAACGTTTTCAACGCGGTGACAATCTCCATCAAAGAACCTTACCGCTACGATAAACACGGCCAGCTAAAGCCGGAGTACCTCGAAGAGGCTATCCGTCGCGAAAGCGCTACGGTCCCGGCCAGCGGCAAGCCCTTCGAGAGCGACGACAGTACCACCGAAGTCAAGGCTTGAGCGATACGGAGGAGAGGAATATAATAGACGTCGAGTTGGCCGCATGTATATCACTTATACCCACCTCCCGAATGTGGTTTCATTTGGGTTGCCTCCTTTTTTCCCAAGTCAGTTTCGTTTCTAACACCCTGCTTTATTGTTTTCTTGCCATTCCTTTGATTGCGTTGAGGCTACTGGAGACCTCTAGCTTGCGTACAATGATACTCCAACTCTGATGATATCTTCAACGTACGGCCGGGAACACTGTTTCCTGCTATCACGACTAGCTCCGTAGCCTTTATTCCGAGGTTTATAACCCTGTCTTTATTTATTGCATATAGCAACTCATAACGGTGGCGCCGACCAAGGAGCATCTGTGACAAGCCAAGTTCGACATGGCGTAAAACAAGCATATTGCCAAGGGCATATCGCACTATGTATCATCGAACATATTAGAATTAACTGTCGCCATGCTGCAAGCCATACTCCTTCCCATCACAGCCTAAGCCGGGACCAGGGGCCATAGTGTCGGGTTCTACAACTGTTGCGCCTGTAGGTGACTGACTTGATTGGAAGTCTGACAGAGCTGTAAGGATTAACACTTACCAGGATCAATGAGCCAGAGCGTTCCGAATGGATAATTGAGTGCTCAGGCCCGATGGCGTCGACCGTGCGGGACAAACAAAGCCACGGAGGCTTGGCTGTGCGGTCCGAGTGTTGGAACCGGCTTGGCATGACAAACAAAAAGAAAATGAAAGAGAAAGTTATCAAGAAGGAAATAATGAGGTCGTACGATAATGTTAGAGCCTAGCAAGCATCAATGGGCTTATATCCGATATAGCCGAACCGTATCATCGCTTGATTCTTTCTCGTATGGCCTGGGGCCCCACATCATGGTGGCTTAGACTCTTACACCTACCAGGCGTCTAGCTTCGTCACATCCTTGCAAGAACAATAAGCGAGGAGCCGTATCTCGGGTCTCTCGATCAATAGGGAATGATGTGATCCGATGGGGGTACTTTCGGCGAGAAATGAGTTACGGTTTAGGGAACTATTCCGCATAGTACAATATACAATACTTTGATACCTTTTCTGAGCAGGATTGTCTATTGGGTAAAGGGAAAACGGCCATGCCTTTGACATGGAAAAACACGATTTAGGGTGTAATCTCGGATGGCGGAACACGAGGGCCAAGCCTCGGCCATTTCACGGGTTACTTAATCAGGTAACCCGGTGGGAGCGGACGTCAGATTAAACGTCTTGGCAGGAAAGGACCAATCAGACGTCGGAGGTCACGAAAAATAATCAGGCAGACATCGCTTTGGTTGCCTGTCTTTCTCGGACTCAATTTCCGGTGGTGGTTCGTTTTGTATGTGGAGGTATTAGCCCTAACGCGATTATGGAGCGTACTCACCATTGTGGTCTAAAGAGCGACTGTTCGCCTACACCTGGATCCGGACATGACATTATCACGGCCGTGCCTCGTTCCTTTTATAACGGCACATTTGTGCAATGGTAAGACACATGTCAAGAGGCCAGAAATCACCTCATCTTCATATGACAAGTGCAGATGGGTACTGTTGAGTAATGCCAACAGACTTGGTACCTGAAGAACCATGACACAGCTTTTCCCTCAATGTGGCGCATGCTTACCATGGCATTATCCCATGGCATCTTGATAGTAAAAACGTGAGAAAGTTTCTTCCTGCTAATCCATTGTCCCAGTTGGCCTTCTAATACATGTATTATGGAGAATACGATCGCTTGCCAGGGCTTTTCCAATTACGTGCCCTCAAGAGGCATCGCGATAGCGGCCTACTTGCGCATTCCATTTGGCTTCAGGGTACTATATAACTCATCGTCCAGCGTTCGCATGATAAGCCTCCCAGTGTAGGGGTGACTAACCCTGAGCGTGCCGACAACCCAGCGTGTCTCCTGCACGAATCAGGATGGAGGTCGGCTTGTTGCGCACGGCCCAGTGTATAACTATATAGCCCCCCTGAGATACGACTGTTAGACAGGCTCTGCTTTGGATTAGCCAACTGGAAATCGCAGTATCTCCAGCTGAAGCACTCACGGGAAACGCCATCACATCACCCTTGGCGGCAATATTTAAATCTCCACCCTTTTCAAGTAACAACCGCTCTCAATCGGCACGCCCATTCCAGCATGCAGTGTGTAGAGCAGCGAAGCTACTTTGACTCTGCGCTGAGAGATCATCCAGTCTGAGCCTTTGAAGCGTATGAGAGCAATTCTATATGCTCTGCGGAAACACGCATGATCTTGTCTTCGCTTTTTTCCTGGACTTGGACCAAATGACGATCACCCCAACCTACTTACCAAACCCAATCCTGACATATCCTGTAATACCGTCAGAATATGTCATTTTACAGGATGTGCCATGACACTTCGTATCCTGAGGAACGCCTCAGGTGTGACAAAACGATGGAAGTAAAAAAAAAAAAAAAAAAAAAAGAATAGAAAGGTGAAGACACACGTTGGGGTTGTAGGCTAACCATAAATAGAAAGTACGATATATCCCAGCCGTGCTTTATCGTAATGATTCAATGAGATGACCACGCATCTATCTGCTAATAAAAACTGCAGGTCACCTTTTTCCTAGCATACTGCTGCTGGAGGGACCTATATAACCACATATGATTAACTGCTACTTCAGTGAAACTGACCCACGGGAGCCTCATACAACACCCCTCCGTGGGCGGCTATTACAGCCTTGTGGTTGGTAGGCGAAATGGCAAGGCTGTGGGCGCAACATCATATCTCTCCCACCACCCCCTCCGCCCAGTCATTCAATTTCTTCAGACCAGCTGATCCATCTGGTAGACACGTCTCTCGTCCACTTATTTCCAGGCACACTTTAGCAACAACACTATCTTGTCCACCCTGCTTTAACATTCCTCCACGATGAAAACATTCCCTGAAGCGGACGTTATCTGGTGGAATGCGAGGTCCTATTACATTCGATGCCCATTCTGCGAAGCAGTTCATCACCACGGCGTAAACTGGAACACGGACAAGCTGAGATATTCACATTGCGAGAAGATGGAGACTTACTTTTGCTGCTTCCCCATGAATGAGCAAGGCCAAGTTGCATATGAAATCGACAAGCGACGAGGACGATATGTCAATATTTGTGTATCGCACGATAGTGATACCGAGGATGACGATGTTGATCATCTGGCAATCGAGCTGGCTCAGAAGGCTACGATTGCAGCACAGAGAGAAGAGTCATACGCGAATATCAGGGAAGATTCCAAGGAAATGGCTACCATCAATCCAGGACAGGGCAGGGAGCCATTTGAACAAAAGAGGATTTTTGAACCGATACGCGATTGTGCCGAAGGAAATACAAGAGCGGTAAAGGAATACCTGGAGACTTCTAGTGAGGCCCAGCTGTTTGTTCGAGGGCGAGATCATGATGGTAAAACAACTCTTATCAGCATAGCACCTGAGCCGTGTTCGGAGATGGTGTCGCTTCTTATTAAGTATGGGGCTGATGTGGATGCTGTCGACAATGATGGGAGGAGTGCCCTTATGGAGGCAGCACTCTTTGGTTGGACCGAAAATGTAAAGGTTCTACTGCAGAACGGCGCAGACAAGAATATTCGGGATAGCGAAAATCGACTAGCTGTTGACTTTGCTCGAGACTATTACAAAAACCGGGCCGAGAGATACAAGCGTACCAGAGTTAGCTTAACATCTCCATTGAATCCACGGCTAGGCTATACCGAGGACACATTTAAAAGGGATATTGATCGTCAGGAAATTATACGCCTCTTGGACGGAGAGAACAGGAAGTCAAAGATTGTCTTTGGGACCCCTCCCACGTTATCACTATCTGAATCCTACTCTTTCACACCCTCCCTAATGCAGGACTCGTTAGTATTACGCGGCCCAATTGAAGAGTATCCAATCAGCAGCAGCTCTAAGACGGTGGCGCGTTTGGAGCGAGGTGGAAATTTTCCGTCTATTGGCGCTATGAGCGGATGGTCGCATAGCCCCGTGCAGTCCCTCAGGGTTGACGGTCGACAGTGGACTGATGATGTCTTTTATATCTCGGAAGTAGTGGGTCATGTTCTAGCTTCCCATGGCTATGATCGGGGTAAGGACGGCCAATACAATGCATGTCACGCAGAAAAGCAGTTGATAGCGTATTTTGTTGATCGCCACGTATTTCTTCCACGCGACCTCGACCTGAACTTGAAATTAGAGGAAAGGATCGAGTGTGTAGAGGAAGAGCTTCAGGAGTTCCTATCCGGCACGGAAATAGGTCGCAAGGTGACATCTCTTGAAAAGAGGAAGAAGGGTATAAAACATGAGCTATTGGATGGGGACGAAAAGCTCGTTGGAAAGCATAATGAGATCAAGGCACTGAAGGTGGAGCGCAAATCTGTTGAAACAGCCCTAAACCAGTTGATTGCCAGCCCTCAAGCACGACCATTGTTGAAGCTAGAAAGCCAACTGAATATTCTAAATCAGCAACTAGACAGACATACTGACCTGATGGATATGGCTAGTGCGCCACTACCTGCGTCATTAACCGAGGCGGTCATACTGGTCAGCTCGCCTCCTTGTCAGGACTGCAGGGTGTTCAAGGACAAAAGTCAATGCGCGTTTTGGGCTATCTATACAATTATTTGCGGCACTTTGACTTGCATTGCAGCGATCAACATCAGGAAGCCAGAGGATTGTGGCTTTCCATGGGATCCGGGAGGCGAGCAGTAAGCAACTGTTCGGTTTGGGAAAAAACTGTTTTGTTCATTAATTTTCTTTCAGTGTCTATAGTATAATGGTTAAATGAAAGAAGAGTACGTACACGTGAGGTTACCACGCGGCTTTGCTACAAATAGGAGAAGCTCGGGGAGTTGAATGCCAACGCGAATTAGTGCAAGTCAACAAACCGAAAATATATGTTAATAGTAGATAGCACCAGAAAGGACCTTACTACTAAGTTAAAGTTGGATCAGAATCAGGAGTCAGCATCCAACAGTCCAAATCAGTAAAGCTCTGTATATTTCTGCGTATGTATAGTAACTTAACCTCCTGCGCCTGAGGCCTTGTCTAGAGCTTCTATTTCCCGAATATGATTCTTCCTCTTCCAGCCCCTCCCTCCCCCCTTGATCACCGCAGATCAATAGGCTTCAAGCTCGTAGCTCGCATACATAAACGGCCCCGCGCCCTTAACGTCATTTTGCACAACGGGAACAGATACGTAATACTACATCCGGTCAGTCAAATCCACCTTCGTTATTTCAGGCCTCAGGGAAAGTGAGAGCTTACCTCGAAACTGCCGTTACTGCTCAGACTTCCCACCTCCACTGTGCCCTCCCAGTTCAAAGTCCCGTTATCATTCGTGCTCACAAACTTGTCAAGTAACAGCTTATACCCATTGTCAGCGGCCTGGGAGTACTCGTTCTTGTCTAGGAATCCATTCCGCATGCCCTTCAAGAACCCATATGTGAACATCGCAGACCCACTACTTTCAATATAGTTCCTAGGGTCGCTCGGGTATTGGTCGTTCATGATCAACCACCACCCACCACTTTCATCCTGAGCCTGTTTAAGCGCTTGCGCGAGTTTCTGGAATCGGCTCAGGTTGGTCTCCCAGCCTGGGTGAGATTTGGGGAAGTAATCGAGGATATCGACAAGGGACATGAAATACCATCCTAGGGCGCGATTCCACACGAGTGGAGCAGCACCGGTTTCAGGATCTGCAAGTGATTGTTATTTCCTTGTCTTATAAAACTAACAGACGCTGGGAGGGGGCGAAACAGCGATTGCTTCAACTTAGTTAAACATACCAGCCCAAACCGCAGTTTTACTGTAATCAAACCCGTGGACGAGCAGGCCATCCTCCCGCAAACAATGCTCTTCGATCAAGTCAAACTGTAGCATGATATCATCCCAGGCAGTGCTGTTGTCCGCATCAAACCAAGCGGTGTACAGCGCGTAGAAGTTCGTTGACATGTAGATCCCATCCAGCCACATCTGGTTTGGATAGGTGGGATCACGATGCCAAAGCCCGCCTCCCTCATTGCGGGGTGTTAAGTCGATCTGTCGTCGTAGAGTATCGGCACCTAGCTTGAACTTCTCTTGACCAGTAGCGGCCCAAGCAGCCAGAAAGTTTGTGCCGATCCGCAGATCGTCAAGAGATATTTTGTCGCTGAGGTTATAGTCGATCAACTCGCCGGAATCACTCACAACGCCGGAAAGTTGAGACTCCACGAAGTCAAGATACTCAGGGTTGTTGGTTTTGTTATGTGCAAATTCAATGCCTCGGTAGAGAACCCCGTAAGCGTAATTCCGGGATAGGGGCACCGATTTGGACAACCAAGATGAAGCCATCCATTCTGTGTAGTTGTTGCTGGTCGCCAGCGTTGTGCCTGCCGTAGAGGCGAAGAGGACTAAAGATGCTCTCATCGTGAGGAGCGGTAATTAGACTAGTATGATGGCTAATCCTGATTCTTACTTCCGTTGATAGCTATCTATGTGCTCTACGATCTTATATATACACTAGCCTCGGTTATTTACACCCTGATACAAGCAGCTCTCAAGCCAAGACACGGATGAATTGTTTCCTTCGACTGCCGCCGAAAACCCCACGAATAAGACCCCGCAACTTTAAATTTAGCTGCATAGAACACACCATAGCATAATGGTAAATGGTGGAATTTCCCATCTGGGTCTTCTTTTCTTAGTCTGCGCTGTTTATTTTGATATTAGCCAAGACACTGGCAGTTATGCCCAAGGATTTGAGAGGAGACCCATATGAGGGGTGCATTACTCCACCAAACAGTAAACAATCTAGGCCATACAGGTTGTTTTAACGTGAGATGTTTAAAATAAATCGGACCTCTTAGCAAGATACATGACGTCACTATCGTCTGTGCTAATGTATCTATCTAATTGTATACTGTCGCATGCAAGCCTGGGATTATCTCAAGGTCCTTGGACCGATAAGTATACTTCCCATCCTCCGAGATCTTCGCATCTTTTGTGCGTCGTTGCTGCTGAGTCTGTCGTACCTTCACCCATTCCTCCGTTGTCAAGTGTTGACCCAGTTCCGTGAAGACATTCTGCGTGAGTCCAAGTCGGTTGAGTAGAGGGCTGTTTTGAATCGGGTCCAGCACGACGTGGTTATTCGGTCTACGGACGAAGTACAGAGATCAGTATTTACCATGTTGGAAATGCCACTGGCAAACTCACCGTGCAAAGTATAATACTCCCAACCGATCCACATGTGCTTGGTCGGCTGGCGGGACATGTACGCGGTGAACGCTGGACTTGATTAGACCACCCGTAAGAGCAGTCAAGGCATCACAGGTGTTGACCGTAATGGTTCCATCCTGCGGACGCACCCATTTCCATTGGCCCTCAGAGTTGAGGATCTGCAATGCGGCAACTGGCTGACGGAACAAAAGAGTGACTGTCCCCAGATCAGTATGGCCGGGTACGTACATGCTGCCCACTTTTTTGTTCTCCTCGCCGCCGCGTGCTGCGTAATGCATGTACCGAAGATGGTCCTCGCCTTTCACATCATACTGATGGTCCCGGACAAGCTGGTTCTCGTCTGGAAGTTCCAGCAGGATGGCGAACAGACGGAGAAGTTTCTCGACGACTTCTGTGTGGCATTTCTATATTCAACATTACTATGAGGATGGTGAGGTGAAGTATAGACTAATGGAACATACCCGACTAAACGCTTCAATTTCCTCCAAATGATCGCCAAGAACAGGTGGCTGCTGACGCTGGTGGTAACCGTCGAACTTTGGGATATTGTAGACCTGTACATTGTCTTTGACTCCATTTCCAAGCCTGCCGGAGGTCAGTCCATTTGCTCAGTTGCTGGAGGAACCATCTTACGCTCGGTGTCCGGCAGGTCTGTATCCGTTATATTCGCCTTTTTCAAGGTCAGAGGCGCTGTGGTATTTGAGCTTTTCTTCTAGAGGAAGTGCATAGAATTCGCGACCGAGGGCAAATTGATAGTCGATTTCTTCTTGGCTGATGTTGAAGTTCTTCACATAAAAGAAACCTGATTTGACCAAAATTAGATACCGTGATACTTTTCAGCGCATCAGAATACTTACCCACGTGCCGCACAGCGTGATCCAATTGCTTCACAAGCTCTTCCTTCCCTCCCGGCTGGTCATATTGACTGAGGTCAAGGGTAACAAGCTCGGCCCAATCGACTACTCCATCAGACTCATTGAGAACTAAAGTGGGTAGGGATTGCTACTCACGGTTTTCCTTCGTCACCGGAACATGATCATATCTATCAATGAGTTTGGCAGGCATGTTGAACAAATGGATTTTTGGTTATTTGAAGAGGGCTTGTGAGAAGACAAGATGCCGAAAAGAATACAGGGGCAATAAGCTACACTGAAGGTGAGTGCTATATAACTCTTCAACCCCGCATTACGCGCCTTCCGATGATTACCAAGTAATGTGACAAAGCACGCAAGCTTTACCACGCGTCTCGAGTCAGATGTTGGCGGTACAGGCTCGAATCATTGGCTCACGGAGGTGATAACGACTCGTTCAAGTGATGTTATGCCGGGGCTGAGGCACGCCATCCGCACTACATCTTTGCCGTCTTCACACATGAGTTCAACCAACCGTATCAATTATTTTTTCTCCCTCACAATAATGGTTCCCTACAAATATATCCACTCATGAAGCGTTGTAAACTGTTCATCTGTTGTGGAAATATATCAAATCCATAAATAGAAATGACGCAGAGCGGGAAATGCTTATCTTTTACTGGTAGTTACCTAGTTGTACATTAAGTATGAGCATCGAAGGTCAACAACTCGATCTTCACTGTCAATAGATGTATAGTAAGGTCGTTCTACAATACACAGGCAATCTGACCCCTGTTCACATCAACTTGCACCTTTACCCTCACATACGTTTGGTCCGATCCATTTACCTGCCCAGAAACGCAGAAACGCCTCTTTCTTATTCTTAGGAGGATGTAGCTCCGACCGACAAGTTTCTGAGAGGGGCAGCCCATCATTTCCGACGTTCGTGACTGCATTTTGCGATTTGCCCAGGAAATAGTTGTGTTGAAACAGCGATGCGATAAGAGGGATGAAGGCGAGTCCCAACGCAGTGACAAGACAATAATATAACGCGTGCCGATACGCCTGTACTGCCCCCACTCGCATCGGATCCTCAAAGCTGTATAACTTCCGAATGGAAGTGGGACTACCAAACAACTTCTTCACATCAGCTTCCGTGGCATTGGACGGCAGGTACTTTCGCAACTGCTTGGGCATCTGATCCGCCCAAATCACAGCAACAATCGCCGATCCGATAGCCCTACCAATCTTCGACCATAGAGCTAACAGTGAAATAGCGAGTGCGACATCCTGGTGCGGGACGGAGGCTTGCGACGCAACCCGGGATCCGACAACCGACATGGAACCGCCGAATCCGACGAGGATCATCGCCATCACCATAGCGCCCGTGTTGGCAGTTGCCATATCTCCATCCAGCATGATTCCCATACCAATGATTTTGATCACTAGACCGGCGATCTGAATAGCTTTGTACCGATGTGTCCACCGTTGAAGGAGGCCGACAAAAGGTCCGGCAATGCAGAGGGCAAGGGTGAGGGTATTGCCGTAGTAGACCCAGTTCTGATAGCTCCAGGGCTTAGCAACGTAGACATATGAGTCCCAGTAGAGACCACGAACACTTCCAGCAACTGGTGTTTGCCGCAGTGAGTCAGTAATTGTGTATCGAAAATTTAAGCAAGAGGGCAGAGCGGGAACAACTTGCGCATGTAGAAGCTATCGATGATGATAGCCATTGTGAAAGTTTTATTGAATACTAATCGGCGGGGGGCACTCGGTACACGGGCCCATTTCATCTCATAGATGACATAGGCGATTAGGAGGATGCCACCAACGACCATCATGGCTATGAGGGATTGGTTCCGCCAACCCCCATCTGCGTAGGTCTTGAGAGAAAACGGTAATAGCAAGAGCGACCAGCCGAATCCCAACAGAACCAGGCCAAAGGCATCAATTTCATCCAGGATGTGCCGGACAGACTGCGTCCAACGTTCCGAAGGCTCAGCTGCCCTTACTGAAACCGTCCCACGGGGTGCGTCATGACCATCCCTCTCACCCAGATGTCCAGCGGCTCGACGAGCGGCATTAGAGGAGGCAATGTTCACGATCCCATTTTGTTTGGCTTTGCGATCGAGGTAGATCAGTGTGGCGACGGCTGGTCCGAGGGCGACTGGCATTATAATGGCAAACATGCCGTATCCCCAGCGCCACTGACCTTTACTATCGATGGCATCCACAATCTTACCGGCAAACCAGGTGTTGATGATGAACGGTGTGGAGAGCATAGAACTCGCAAATCCGCGCCATTCGAGCGGTGTCAAGTCCGCGACGATGATGTCGTTGGTCAAGTCAAGGCCGGAGCTTCCGATGGCGACAAAAACTTCTCCAACGACATAGCCAGCGATGGTCCTACAGGTGGCAACAATGATATATCCCAGTACGTAAAACAACAGGACCCATATGTATGTGTACGGACGAGATGTGATGTCGGAAATCTTAGCGATAAAGGGTTTGCTGACGGCACTGATGACACTTGTTGCAATTGATAGCGTGGAGAGTACCGAACTGTGTTGTTTGAAGTATGATGATGCGTCGACCGAGTAGTAGGACGTGGTAGATGAGTCGAGTGAGTAGGCCCAAGCACAGACAAGCACTGAGACCCCGATGAACCACAATGTCTTCCGATCCGACTTGGCCTCACGATAGACAGCCTCCATTCGGGTGACCCCCTGGGACCGTTGGAAATCCCCAATCGTGGGTTTAGTAGGGCCCTGGTCATTTTCTTCTGGATCTGTGACCTGCGTGATTTGATCGTTTGGCGACATGGCTTAGTTCTTGTAGTTCAAATGCTCATAACAAGTCAGGCATGGGATATATATTTCCCCCTAAACTGGCGAGTGAGTACGAGTTCGCCTTGAATAGGAAAGTTGATGACCGAGAAACATTTTTCTATCCCCAATCTGATAAGATCCCGTCCCTGGTATTTTTTTTTTCCCTCTACCTCAATGCTTATGTCCTGATTTCCGAAATTCTGTTTGCTTTCCCGACAATCCGTAGACGAAGACTGGACTGCGTCACACAACCTTACTCCAAACAGCACCAGTAAAGCAAGGGCATGTGGAGATTCTAGCACGAGTAAAACCAATCATGATTCCTACTGTCTCTAATGTACTAACATTGCATGTCTCTGGAATGTTTGAGCTTGGGATCCATATTCTACTTTCGGTTACTGACCTCTTGGCTCGGGGTCTGGCCAGCCAATTAGGGGCTAATCTGAGGGATCTAATCTAATCAGATGTGTCGGAATCTGTCCGACATGATTAGGATATTTATTCTATGTGAACTGACCATACCATTGTCCCTAGTGGTGCCATGTCTGTTGGAATATCATTTACCGTCGGTTTGTCACGCGCCCCCCGATCAGGAAAATGCTCTTTCTACTTAGTCATATCTTGTCCAATGCGTCTAAACTGGACGGCCCATATGTGGGAGCTAGGGAGCAGACACGCTTGCGCCCAGATCTCCTGGGAATCGGCGCACTTGTCCGACCGCCACTTGCATCTAGGGGCAAAGGTTTTACGCATCAGTACGGGATGATATCGACAGTCGATCCCCAACGCCTCGATCACTGTCTGCTGCTTTGAAGTTTAACTAAGAATGGTTACTGGTCTGCGGCGCCAGTTTCCTCCCAGCCTGCCCGGAAACATTATAGCGACTGAATCGACAACAAGAAATCTTGACTGGCCCAAGCTCTTTTCATTCAAATGCACATGCCCACAAGCAGTTAAGGCCGTCGAGAATCCGGTGCTCAGATTGCATCTACCCTGACGTTTCAGAACATTAACGCTTCGGGGAAAGCCAGCGGGTGGCCCCTTCGTGGACACCGTATGGCCTTCAACCAATGGCTTGGAGCATATAGGGCTAACACGTAGGGTATCAGGATATCAAGCTATTACGTACAGTAAGAAGACTGTGGGAGTATTGCCTTCCGGTACAAGATCAAAGCTATCGCTAGCTTTCCCGACGTTCTCATCAATGAGTCTTCGGCCCGAGGCAGTCCTGGTGACATAGTGAGTACTCCACATATAGATACTCCGAAGGTTCCCTGTTCATCCTGCTAACATGGCTTTATTTTGTGTCCGTTTATTTGGGCCAATTGAGATCCGGTTTTACGACATTTCCAGAAATTGCTACGATCCAGCGGAAACCACTTGAGGCTGTAGAAGGCGTCATGAGATACCACCCCTTAACAGAAAAGGAGATTATCGGACTCTTGCTGTCAAATCCCGTCGAATGGCGGAGGCTCCTGTTCACCTCGCTTTTATCAACAGCTAACTATGATGTACATGGAGTCGCGATGGACAAACGCTTCTCAACAGTGGCAGGGGATTACATTGTGAAACCGCCTTGAAAAATAGGACCGCCACTATCACAAGGACGCAGTACGTCGGGACATATGAAGAGCCCCGTTTGAAAGCCTTCGGCATGCACCAAACGGTTACGCACTAATCGGCAAATAATATTACTGTCAATTGCCGAGTCCCAGCCGTGTTTATGAAAGCGCAGAGATGCGTCTTGATCGCGGAGAAGGGCTTGTAGGGGAAATTGTCGAGTGCGGGGGAATTGCGGATTCTTTTCCACTAAATCTCCCACGGTACATTTAAATGCCGATCTCAACTACATTGGACCTACTCAATCTAAAGTTTCGCCGAGGCTTCCAGATGTCCTGTATTTTACAGTCTTACCCCGGTATTTGGTCGCTACTTTTCTTCATTCACTTTTGCCGTTTGTGGGGGTTTCCAGTCAGGGGTATTATCTGATACCTCAGTTCAAGATGGCAATGCACCTGGGGTACAAGATGGAGGAAATTTATAAAGTCGGGCATATAGCTCCAGAAACGTCAATTGCGCAGTAGCATTATTTCTTTCATACTCGCGATGCGGTTATTATCGACTTTTTTTGCTGCAACCGCAGCTGGAGCTGCAGCTGCAGCTATAGAACACAATGGTTCTTCTTTCCAGGCCAAATGCGAATCTTTCAAAGCAAAGATCAAAGTACCTAGTGCAAATGTCCATTCGGTAACCTATGTCCCGGCGGGTGTCAACATCTCCATGGCCGATAACCCGTCCGTCTGCGGTGGAGATGAGGATCCAATAACCAGCACATTCGCATTTTGTCGCATTGCACTCAATGTAACAACTTCCAGCAAGAGTCAGATTTTCATGGAAGCCTGGCTGCCCAGTAATTATTCCGGTCGATTTCTGAGCACAGGAAATGGCGGTCTTGGTGGCTGTATGTGACCTTTCCTTCCTGGCGTGCTCCGCTCAAACTAAACATTCTCGCACAGGTGTCAAGTATGATGATATGGCCTATGCTGCAGGATATGGATTTGCTACTGTTGGAACAAATAACGGACATTTTGGTAACACTGGTGTCCACTTTTACCAAAACTCAGAGGTGGTTGAGGATTTTGCTTACCGCGCACTCCATACCGGCGTCGTTGTCGGGAAGCAATTAACGCAAAGCTTCTATCCTCAAGGTTATAACAAATCATACTATCTCGGTTGCTCCACTGGAGGACGTCAAGGGTGGAAATCCGTTCAGACCTTCCCAGATGACTTTGACGGTGTCGTGGCTGGTGCACCGGCGTTCAATTTCGTTAATCTGACCAGCTGGGGTGCTCGATTCCTCACCCTCACGGGCGACTCCAGCGCAGAGACCTTCGTAACCGAGACGCAATGGACTGCCGTACACAATGAGATAATCAGACAATGCGATCCTCTCGATGGCGCGATAGACGGCATCATTGAGGATCCAGATCTTTGTCAGCCCATCATTGAGATTCTACTTTGCAATGCAACCCAATCCTCCACATCCGGTACGTGTCTCACCGGAGCGCAGGCCCAGACAGTGAACGCCATCTTCAGTACAACCTACGGCGTGGACGGCTCCTTCGTCTATCCGCGCATGCAGCCCGGATCAGAGTTAGCAGCCTACTACAGCTACTACAGCGGGACGCCTTTCTCCTATGCCACTGACTGGTATCGCTATGTGGTATACAACAACACCAACTGGGACCCTGTAACTTGGACCCTGGAAGACGCCGCTATTGCCAGCGCTCAGGACCCGTATCAAATCTCCACCTGGAATGGCGATATCTCTCCCTTCCAGAAAAAGGGCGGCAAGGTCCTCCATTATCACGGCATGGAAGATGCAATCATTTCCTCCGACAGCTCAAAGGTGTACTATAAGCACGTTGTCGACACAATGAATCTTAGTCCCTCTGAACTCGACAGCTTCTACCGTTTCTTTCCGATCAGCGGCATGGCCCACTGCGCAAATGCAGACGGGCCTTCTGCGATCGGTCAGGGGACTGGCACCTTTTCAGGAAACAACCCAGAGGATAATGTTCTTCTTGCCATGGTTCAGTGGGTTGAAGAAGGTGTCGCTCCTGACTTTGTTCGGGGTGCCAAGCTCAATGGCTCTACAGTGGAATACCGCAGGAAGCACTGCAAGTATCCTAAGCGTAACCGATATGTCGGGCCCGGTCCGTCCACAGATGAGAACGCTTGGGAATGTGTATAGTCTATATTTATCAAATTGAAAGATAGATCCAAGTATGGTAGTCACGGGATAGAGGGCGTGGCATTGGAAGCTAGCGTTACTGGAGAGGCGCTCATATAGTACAATAGAAGAGGCCATTCAGTATGACAATACACAAATGTAATTGAAGATTTGAAATACATAGTTATCACAATACAAAGCGTAAAGCCTAGGCCATTTCACGACTCCACCACTAAAGTCTTTCACTAGCATCCTGATAGATACACAGAAAAGATAGTTGTCTAAAACGGATCATACAAGTGTCAAACAATAGATCAAAACATGTATCCGACTCCAGGACTCAAATTAAACACGTATAATATGACTCAGATCTGGCATGACTTGACTCCCTAGCAATACCTTTGCCGCTGCCAAGTAGAGTCCAGTACTGAGGGTGGCAACACTCCCGAAGGCAGCAAGAAGTCCCATATAGGATAGCACCTCAATACCGGGCCTTTTCAACATGTAGTTTTTCCGCTGCCCTTCTTTTGTTGTTCGGTTGAGGCTTGGGACGTATTTAAAGTCGAAGATTGTTTCCTTTCCTAGGCCCTCTTTATCATCCATGAGATGGTCCCACATCATCCGGCGGCGAGACTGCAGTTGAATTTTCAAGATCAGTATCCTACAAACCACATATATGACTAGAACGGGGTTTCATACTGCAAAAATATATCTCTCGATGAAACCAATCCGCGGCACTGCTTTGGCCTGTAACTGGACCGAGAGACAGTATCCCCACATCAGCATTCGATAATACAAGCTCGTTCGTGGAATATGGAGCTCATCCGAAAGCTGATCGCCGTTGAGTAACCGGGATAACGCGTCCATGAATTCCTTCGAGGCATATGCAGGAGCGGTATTCTCCATTCCTATTACAATATTCTTGGCGAGGATTCTTCCAGTATCGGTTGGAGCAAATTCATTGATGAGCAGAGACTCCGACCAAAGTTTTGCCTTCGCGGCACTTTCAAACGGCTCGGCGGGGGCTCCCATATACCAGGCGACCAGGCGCCATAGAGCGATGTAATCTTCCTGCTCTTGCTCGCTCAGGTTGATGCCCTGGCGCGGAAGCCCTAACCAGATAACGGTGCTGCTATACGTATTGATGGTCGCAAAGGCATCTAGATCGTTGATGGGCAAGCCATATTTTTGGACGTCATAGTACGTTGGGTCTCGCTCCACCAGGCTCATGATCTTGCGACGTACTGCTGAATGAAGGAGTCGGACTCGAACGCATGCGAGGTGGCCGTCTCCTCCAGGCCTCATGCTGTCCACCGAACTGTTCACTTGAAATGCGTGTTGGGCGGTTTCTAATAATCGACGACGGACGACATTGGCGCCGAACCCACCAGTGCGTGATAATGTTTCTCCTACACGAATAGCGCCCCTATATGTTGCTGGGATTAGATCATGAACACGTTAAGTGGTAGTTGGACGGAACTGAAAAGACATTCGTACATTCCACCGAGTAAGCTATTGTATGTGAGCTAAACGCGATAGAGGGTTAGCAGTGTCTTGTGTTCAACCCAGATATAGAACACTCATACCGAGTTCGCTATGGGGAGCATATATCTCCAATACACCTCCTGGCCGCGTTGAATCTGTGCCCAGTCCACCCAGTCGGGCACCGTATTAATCTGGGACCACAGCTCCTCGAGTTTCGGGTGGTTTTCATGATTGCCCTTCAAAAGCGCATAGCGGTCTCGTTTTGAAATATTACCGCCTTCATTGTTGGCAGGGGCCGGTAACTCGTTTAATATATCATTGCATTCATCAGCCAGGCTATCGCAGGAGTGGATCCAAGACTCAAATTCGCTCGCAGGGCGATGCTGATCGGTCCACTCGAAACTGTAGTCCCAGTAATGGTACTCGATTCGGTTTCCTTTCCCGTTCTTGGTCGCGGACATTTTTGCGAATTAGGCTGTGGCATTCAGTTCAAGACATCACCTCGTCCTACAATCAATGAATGATATATACGAGTTGCTGCGTATTGTGACTTATCTAACCTTGCTGTCCGCGGACCGAGGTCCGCATAAGGAGCTACATCTCATGTCGGAAGCATGGGACAATGAAGTCTTTCTAATTAGTGAGCGCTACGGTGTTGTGCTGATCCATAGTGTTGTATGATGAACCTACAGAGCTCGAGGTCCTATGATACTAGCTGGAAAAGTCAGGGATTTCACATGCCTTAAGTTACGTCACATCGAGGCTCTTCTGCTAGCGTGTAGAACAGCAGCGCCCCTCACTTAGGCTGTAAGAATAGACAAGTAATGCACACGATGCAGCATAAACGTTCCTCGATGCGCAGCATAACCACCCTTCCTATGCCGAATCCGGCATGGTAAACCCCCTCGGTCCGAACAACATGGGCGGGGTAAAGCCCTACATCTGTCTACCTATACATTACTACGCATATTTCCTTTCATCCCAGGACTACAAGCAATTACTCCGGACATGTGGATCAGAATTGCTCGTGACTGTAAACCTCACTGCTTGCGATCAGATGACCCCCCCCGGAATAATTTCCCGCGTCGATACAGCACATTAGGTAATGCTAAGAGGCATTATTCGAAACTAATGTACCCCGGGACACATCATCTGGCGAGCCAACGTGGCAGCTAATTGTGAATCCCACAAGCCTTCTCGGTGTGGCCAAGACTCTAGGACCTCAAGTGCTCTCTGCCGAACTGCCGGGTTATCACATTTTGCGATGACGAAGAACAGAGGTGCGATGGTCCCTGTCTCCATCAGCAGCGTGGGACGGCGAGGGGTACTTCGAGGTGCAATCTCCATCAGACTGCCTGTGATAGTTTTTGCTTGATCGACGACATCGTTGAACCGTTCCGTGGATATACTACGGATAGTTTCGCTACACTTTATCAAGCATATGTCTGTAGTCACAGAGAGTGCCGCCTGATGCATACGTAAAATTGCCAGGGCCCTTCGCTCCTTTCCCGTAAGAAGTCTGCGACGAATGCTCGCCTCCTCAAAGCGATCTAGCGCTTCCGCAAAACCAGCAAGTTGCGCCTGTTGTTTCCTCTGCTCCGTACGCAATATGCCATAGTTCGCGGACATGTCAGTCCCTGAGAAGGACTCACAGAGAGTGCCAAACATGCAAAACTGGATGAAGATCCGGTCGCGGACGATCCACGCGTCCTTGATGGTCTGGAAATCCACCATTGACGGTGCCCGCCCGACCCAGTGCGCGAACATTTCTAGATCCAGTCCCTCGTGTAGTTTAGAGACTCCAAAATGTGCACTCTGTAGATCCAGATGCATTATTGCAGCGGCGAAAGATGGTTCGATGTGTCGCTCTAGAGCTGAAGATGGATGGGTGTGGTATAGGGAACTGTAAATTGGCTTTTGCGCCTCAGCACCCAGCAGCTTGACTCCATTTTGAAGATGAAGAATGGCTAGGTCATACCGCCCACGCGTCAACTCGAAGACCACAAACAGTAGACAGCACATCAAGGCCATATTCTTCACGCTCGGGTCGTTGGAGTTCATCCGGGAGATCAGATGACTAACCGCTCGATTGTATTGACCCAAGGCGAAGCGGTGGTAGCGGTTCGTCATATCCTCCGGTAACACGGGTATACCAGTCGTTTCTACTAACTGCTGTAAAGCGCTCACAGCGACTACCGCATGACAGATGGCTGGCTCGGCATGACTCATTTGAAGTGTAAGCCGATCCCACATGTGGTGATCAAACCAGACGTTCATCATCGGGATAGTCGAGCATTGGAAATAAGAGAAACATCGTCTCTCATCGGAAGTTTGATCTGGGAGCACCAAACGCATTCGATGTACGCTGAGAGTTGTGCTGGTGGCAAGCCCTTTCTTTAGAGGAAGACGATCAAGATCGTAGCCGTCACACTGGCGCCCAGTGGACACACAATTCAAGCACCTACCCGGTAATTCGTCGCATTTGACATGCCGTATTCTAGCGAGGGAAATTAGTGAGACCGTCCGAGCTCTTCGGCCTTATCTACGAACCGGCATGTGCGACATCCGGATCTTGACCTAGGAGCTCGGGCTATACGCATCCTTTTAGGTTCACTAGACTCGGTCAAGCCTCCCATTGCTAGTAATATAGCTGAGGATACTAAAGGCGGACGGAGGCACACCGGGAGAGTGTAATGAGAGCAGGACAGGGGGGAAAACCACGTAAGCTAGTTGTCAAAGTGGGAGTTATTGGGGATTTAGTGTAGCGGCTAAGTAAGCAATGTTGCATTAAATAACTCGATAAGGACTAGCTAGCTAACTAGTACTCCAATGCTTGTTAAGCCAGTGCAAGCCTTGGCAAATCGTTTAGTCTAGAGAAAGAGTAGTGATATTGCCGTAATTGAAGATTCGAGGCTTTCTAGAAAGGCAAATAGTGGCCGCCTTTATTTCTTGACTGTAAGAGAAGGATGTTATCTGGGTAACAGCATGCAACTAGGTTATATCCGAGAGAGATATCATCAATCCAAGGGGGATTCGGGGAAGATTCCCGCGCTGTAGGGCCAAAAGTGATCGGAAAAAATCTCATCCGAACCTCCATCTCTCCACATCTTCCCCCAGATTGAACCCACATCATTCCACATTATCCTCTAGGAATGTACGGAGCACTGATACCTATGGCCCATGCCACGTTCTGTACACATGGGTACCTGACATGCAGTTCATTTTCTGTCCTTATTCCCCCTTTTCTTTTCTTCTCTTTTTTTTCCCTTTTTTTTGCCTTTTTAAAGGAATCTTCCCTTTCCTCCCCCATGCGACAAATAACACTAGACGGAATGTCTACCTTAGTGCCTATTCTTTACGACATGCCGCCCGGCCAAGACGCGTTAATATACCTAAGCCGTAGCCACGAAGCTTAGTCGTATTACATAGAAGAATTGTTTCCACAACTTGGTAACGGTGGACCATCCGAATACTCCGTAGATTTATCAGCCCTTACTTATCAGCCCCCACGGGGGTAAATAGCCGGGGAAAACACGTCAGTGGGAAACTCTGGCTAAATTAGCCCAGCGATCTTTACCGGAAATCGGCAAGCCTGCGGAGGTCATAGAAACAGTTGCAGAAGGTGCTCTGACTCGTGCATAAGAAGACAAAAAGCCGTTATGAGCCGGGATCCCAGGACTTTTTCCCCCGAGAGAGCTTCTGATCGGCATCGACTACGACGGTCTCGACTGTCTCCTCGCTCAACTTCAACTTTTTTCCTCTACAGTAGCCGCTCCCACAGAACCCTTTCTAGCTCAATAGGGCACGTTTTGTCACCGAATACCGACGCCTTTTGCTTTGTATCCCCAAAATGGCGGGTGGAATGGCGTCTCAGGGCATCTCTGCCAAGCGCGCAGAGCTTGCTGGAGGCAAAGTTGGATGGCGGGGGCTGGTCAGCAGCAGGAAAACGTTCGGCATTGCGCTGTTCGCCTCGCTGGGTGGGTTGGTTTACGGATGTATGTACAGCCTATCCGACACATTTGATGATGCGAAGATTAACAGTTTTCAGACAACCAGGGAATGTTCGCCCAAATTCTTACTATGCCGTCCTTCATCGATGCGGTATGCGCGCGGTAGCCCTTTGCGTCCCTATAGCACCTACTGATATCATATGATATAGACCCAAGGATATGCAGAACACACGGGTACCGCCCAGGGTATGCTCACCTCCATTCTCGAGCTCGGTGCCTGGTTGGGAACACTCGCCAATGGATATTTGGCCGATGCGCTGGGTCGCCGTGTGACTGTGGTTGTGGCCGTGGTCGTGTTCTGCGTGGGAGTCATTGTCCAGGCGTGCACTACGAACCCTGACTTCGTTTATGCTGGTCGGTTTGTGACCGGTCTGGGAGTCGGTAACCTGAGTATGATTGTCCCGCTTTACAACGCTGAGCTGGTATGTTCAATATAACTCCGATGCGGATGACGTTGTCTCACTCGAGCAGGCTCCTCCCGAAATTCGAGGATCCCTGGTCGCCGTTCAGCAATTGGCCATTACATTCGGTATCATGGTCAGTTTCTGGGTAAGTACCATGTTGCCTTTCGCCTCGAGGCTTCGCTAATTTACTAGATCGGATATGGCACAAACTTCATCGGCGGAACGGGAGAGGGTCAGTCTATTGCCGCCTGGGAGATTCCGGTTTGCATCCAAATCCTGCCCGCGCTCGTTTTGGCGGTTGGCATGATGATGTTCATGCCTCAGTCACCGCGTCATTTAATGAATCAGGGCCGTGAAGAAGAATGTTTACAGACCGTAGCTCGTCTGCGCGACGCCTCTGTTGATGATATGCTCGTGCGTATCGAATTCTTGGAGATGAAGGCGCTCCGCATGTTTGAGGAAGAGACGGCGCGGAAGAAGTATCCGCAGTATCAGGATGGGTCATTGAAGAGCCGTTTCATGATTGGGCTGCATGATTATATGTCCCTCATCACGGATAAGTCCCTGTTTAAGAGGACCACTGTTGCGGTATGTTACTCGACATAGCTTGTGTGGCGACCGCTGACGACTGTAGTGTTTGATTATGGTCTTTCAGCAGTGGAATGGTATCAATGCGTAAGTTAAGCCCTCATGGTTGAGATTGTATAACATGTACTAACCCCCACTAGAATCAACTACTATGCGTAAGTTCTTCGCTGCACCAGGTGGGGCCATTCTAATCGTTCCTAGCCCGCAAATCTTTAAGGACCTTGAGCTCGGTGGTACCACTACTTCATTGCTGGCCACCGGAGTAGCCGGTATCTTCGAGTTTGTCTTCACTATTCCAGCCGTTCTCTGGGTCGACAATATTGGTCGGAAGAAGATCCTCATTGCCGGTGGCATTGGTATGGCTGTTTGTCACTTTATCGTGGCGGGTATTATTGGATCTTACCAACATACCTTTGCCCAGCACAAGGCTCCTGGATGGGTCGCAGTAGTATTTGTGTGGATCTTCATTATCAACTTTGCGTATTCATGGGGTGAGTCGAACCACGTCCGATGTCCCTTAGCCTTGACTAACTGCCGTAGGTCCTGTTGCTTGGATCGTGGTTTCTGAGGTATACCCCCTGAGCATGCGCGCCAAGGGTGTCAGTATTGGCGGAAGCAGCAACTGGGTACGTTCTTCCTCGAAAGTATAATTTGGTGCCATCATTCTGATCCTTGTATTTCTAGCTCAACAATTTTGCCGTCGGTCTCTCGACGTCTCCCTTCCTTAGTGCATCGAACTATGGTACGTTCATCTTCTTTGGATGTATCACCACCATCGGTGTCATCTGGGTGTGGTTCCTGGTGCCCGAAACCAAAGGCCGCACCTTGGAAGAGATGGACGAACTCTTTGGCTCCGGAGGTATGGCTGCTGAAGATGAGGCCCGGAAGCGACGGATTGAACGTGATATCGGGCTCCTGGCTCTCTTGGGTGAGGAACCGGAGCATCCAACCGATGAGAAGCTCGCCGAGAAGCCCACACATGTTGATAATGTATCGGAGTAGTGTTCTGAGGGTGAACTGGTATGATTGCCGAGTTAGTACCGGTGGTTAAGCTACGAAGGATGACGTGTTTTGTACCAAATAGCTGATGGGTGTCGCAGAGGACTGCTTAATATTGGACTATTAATCTATATCTCTCCTCATGAACTTGCTGTTGTTTCGTAGCAGAGGTGAATTGTACTCTGAACATCTAGATCGTCTTTTATGACGGAAGCAATACGACTACCTTGTGTATGATGAATATTAGGAAGTCTAACTACTATCGTCTGAGGTGTATCCAAGCCTTGATACCATGTCCACTGATCAATCAGACCACCACAGCAGCAGCGAGCCAAGGAAATATTTGCCAATGATCCTGATTCCACGCCCCACATTCGGTCTGGGCCGTCATTCATGGGGAATTTCTCCGCATTCTAAAGTATTATCCTAAATCCGATATTCCTTCTTCCGGATAAATTCGTCCATTTAGCCTGAACTCCTATGGCCGACTGCTAACGCCCTAATGCCGTCATACGGCTGCCGGCAAACCCGAAAAAGCCGGGGGCAGACACCAGTAGAATGAGACATCGGTACATTGGAGAGAGTTCTTAAATGCAAAATATCCTTACTCGTACAGCACAGACGACATGGTACAGGCTTCATTCACTTACCTTGAATTTTGTACCCATGCTTGGCTTTTACTAATCATCCTCGTGGCCCGTGCACACTCGCTTCTCCTTTGGATGTAAGTAGATAAAATAGCATAGTTAAGAAATTGGCATACATCTTCAGACTTATGTTCCCTTTATGGGCCTTCGTTTCTAATGGAGAGTACTTAATAGCCATATAATTTCCCACGCCGCGCCATCTATGCGTTATGTTGGCGATTGGCCTCAGTGCGATACAAGCTTTTAATTATAATCACGTCAAGAAACTACATTGCGCCCAAGCATAGGAGCGTACTATTCTCCACGGATTTGAATTTGACGCGCCGTCTAGTCTTTCTTTAGAAATTTTGAATAGGCCTAACCGCTACTTCACATTTACCAAATTCATATTCACCTATATACAAGCCGTTTTGTCGCCATACTCATTGACTGGCAAGACTCCGCGGCTTCTTCGTCTGGCAAACGGGGCAATCGTGGTGTTCTGATTGATCATATCATATAGGAGTCCATAAGCTTGAATCTGAGAATACCCGGTGTGATAGCGCGCCAATGTCCATATCGCTGCTAATTTATATCGGTGCGCGCGGCCCGCGAGCTTTCTCGTATCTATCGCTCCCTCCTTGACGCTTTTTTTCCGTAATTTGATCAGCCTCGTAACAGGCATACTTTTGCTTTCCTCGAAGTCTACATGGTGACCCTAACTCCAGTTTTGCAACTTGATCGGAGTTCTTTCCTGAATCGTGTTCCTCGCAGGAGCCATTCAGACTTGTACCTCCAATCCAGCCTGGTATTTTATCAAGAGCATGGATCTCATCCTCCTTATAAGTGATCAATAAGGGCATCCTATCCGCAACTGCAGCTCCGATTCTCATCATCGCAAATCCGTTCATGGAACTGGTCCATTTTGGGTAAAAGGCTGCGTAGCTCGCAACGCATAGCAGGGAGATGAGGTACACAGAATGGAGTATGGAGATCGCTATGATACTTGCTTGTGAGATCTTAGGGACCAAGGTATCCGCGCCTAGATCGAACATAACACCGTAGTCATCAATTGAGCCAACAGGGATGGATCCAGCTACTTCTGCCCAGGCTGTATTCACGAGTGCGAGTCCCGTTTCGAATGCGTCGCTGATCCTCTTAGTATCGGTTTGAAAGGATCCCATCGAGACCAACCAATATGTGAGAGCTTCCCAATTCCGACCGTATGGAGTGTTCATCGCATTATAGTCACCAAAAATATCATGATACGCTCGTGGCGACTGGTCACTACCGATGCATATCTGGCCAGATTTGGAGTCGAGAAAAGCCAGGAGAGGCGCGTTGGAACAGAATTGTACATCTTGTAGTGAAGCATCACTGCTTAAGACGTCGCTATTTAGCGCAGTGGCACAGATGGACATAAATGAGTCTCTTGCACCAAATATCGCGTATGTCATTGCGAGAAGTGGGCCAGGAGCCACTAGCTTCTCAAGGGAATCATCAGTCTGGTAGTATTTAACGTCACTGCAATGAAAGGTTAGACTCTCCCATCAAATATAAAAGTCTTAGCCAGACTGACGCCAGGTTCTTAACTGGAGATGATAAGTATTTGCCTTCAAGAGGGCCGGGCTTGTTTGCATTCCTGTAGTTCGGAAGCTCGAACCAACCGGCCGTGGTATTTGCTGTGATTTTCAGCAAGGTACTATGTCGCGGTGACTTTAGTAGTTTGTCTCTTTCATTGGGATTTGAGAAGTTGAAGTGGAGGTACAGTTCTTCTGAGATATCCTGCCGCAGTTGCCTTCTGTTCCACGGCGATTGCCACCGATTATCATCCCATAAAACTGGCGCACAGACCGCAACAGCCCATCCAATGCCATTGTATTGCTTTTGAAAGCTTCTACCAGCCTTGCAGTTTATGAAAGGCTCTTCTTGAGAGAGAAAGGTGGCATGGGTGCTACTATTAAGGCGTTGAGTCCGCTGACGAACCAAACCAGTATTGAAGTCATTTGGGAGTACAGCAATGAAGGGATCATCCAGTTGGGAATATCGGACGAGTTGCGTAGTAGTTCCACACTCGCCCTCGTGCGTTTCAGTTCTGGGGCTATTGGCCGCCCAAATCTGTTCGTTGTATGAATTGCCGTTGGCTGAGCGGAGAGCAGTAAGAGCAGCGCTAGAAAGCATGCTCAGTGTTATGCCAGTAGAATCAGCGGTCTGCCCTTGAAAAAGGTGAGCTACACTTATGGCTTTTGGACTGTTTGGAACCTTGATCGTCTTTGGAGATAGAAGCAAGCTTTGAAGGGGTGCTATCAGTGCCCCAAGGACATGAAGAGCGATGGCTACCAGAAGAAACGAGGTGAAATATCGGTTCCAGCAACTAACCGGGCCTTTGAAGAGCTGAATGTACAAATCGGTATTGGTCCAGCCTTTATCCGCAAGGGCCAAAAGCATGCGTAGAGTCATCTTGCTAGATTTGCCACAGCGCTGAATAAACACGACGGCTGCGTTCGAGCAGACTGCCGACGTGATGGGGATAGTTAATACGGTCCCAATGGTTTGCATGACCCGCGCCGCTCTGTACCACTTTTCATTTGTCACAAAAGCAGAAGAGTCAATGCTATCATGAGGGGTGTCTTGGGAAAATGCAGGAATAAAATAGTCGTCGAATGAATAAGACGCGGTTGTTAAAGGTCGAACTGATAGGATACAAGTGAGTATCCATGAAGATAGAACCAGGACTGCGTAAAGGCTAGCGATAATTAAAATCCAGAATGAACGACGTAGTTGAACTGACCCAACTGTATCTTGGTTCTCCATGTTATCGACCGGTGCTGCTGGTGGCTCTGGGGGCGCCCGCTCCTGTTCCACGGGGCTTCTGCTTCCATTGTTGATCGAGGTGACCAAGGAATAACCTTGACTGTCCATGGCGGTCTACACCTCCCAGTGAAAGTCTTCCAAGACCCCAAGAGCTCCCGGTGCTTTTATGTGGCTCGGTGAAGGGATTCTAAAAATTCCAAAGTCCAGGGGTAGCCGCTAACGCACCGTTCATCTCGCTCAGCCTTGCCCCTCCCCCTTGCATGATGAATCCATATTCTTACAATGTACCACTGTTTGAAGAAGCCTTGATAGGTCTTACTAAAATTCGTACAAAGGATAGAAAGATGTTAGAACACAATAGTATTCGCAGACCCTCGAAACTCTTTGAGGCATTGGATAACTATATTTGTATTGTTGACAGTAGTTAGTTTCCACTGGTGGGAGACCCCTGACTGCTTCTATATTACCAACTTCGTTCAAATGCAGTACCTGGCAAGTTATTGTGGACATTGTCAGGTTATCAATATCTGCTGCAGTGAACAAATTGAATCTGCTATACTATATCACTGGCTCTGAGGCGGAAATAGTGGAAGATGTTCACCCATTCGTGGGCACGACTCGCGCAAAGCCTCCCTGAAGAGGCAATTAAGAATAATTGACACTTGCTTTTATCAGAATGTAGACATGTAAAAAGATATCTTTCTTAACCTTGGGTACTGGTGCGCAGCGACCCGTTTCATTAAACCATTCGGCCCCGAGAGATAAAAGAGAGAAGGAGTCACGTGATCAGGTTCGACCTAGTTCCTCGCCGGGGTGGGCTGTATATAGCTTTACAGCCAATTGAGAATGAAGCCTGCGCAATTTATAATTAATGACTGCTTGTGTCCGTCCAAGGTTACATACGAAGCAGTTCAAGAATGAAGTGGCAGCGGTTCCCAATTTTATGAGCCTCGAACCATCTATTTTGGAGCATAAGCCAAGGCACTAGGCGAGCACAGACCGTTGGGTTTCATTGCCCGTTCAAACCTCACCAATTATTGAGGAATCCACGAGCCCAAGGAGGCTTACGGGCGGAGCAAAAACCGTTAGTTTAATTGACTATCATTTCCCTGAAAGGTCATGGGTTCGTCTGCCCTATCTTTAATTTCCGGCAAATGGAACCATTACTTACTTAATTCTCGTCAGTCCCAGTTTTTTAGGATGTATATTCTGACGTGAAGATACATCCCTTTTTTCTAACTATCTGTCATTCGTTTGTCCAGTTGTCCAAATATCAGTCGCTCTTTTGTTTTTGTTCAGTCCTTCATTTGGTACTCTCTTTTTCCCTCCAAGACCCCTTTTTGTCAATTGATTCAAGGGCGCTCGCTCTCTATCAATTTTCGGACCCGATACCGCCAAACCACAAAAGGAATTACCGTAAAGGAACCCAAAAAGAAATAAACACAATGCGGTTTCTGCTCCCCTTTGCCATTGGGCTCACCCCCCAGGTTTCCGCCCTCAGCATCAACAAGCCGGGCGCCAACTCGACATACGCCGCCGGATCTACTATAACGGTCAACTGGACTACGGTGGACACTGATCCCACCGAAATTAGTCTCTATCTGTGGAACTTTGTCTCCTGGCCTCCCTCTTACGTTCCTTTGGCTCAGAATGTGCCCACCGCCGATCAGTCATACTCGGTGCAGATCCCCTGCGACACCAACCCCGAATGGGGTTATCAGATCAGCGCCATCAACGGGACCAATGTCTACATTATCTACGCGCAGGGTGACCGGTTCACAGTTTCAGATGCTGTGAATGGCACCAGCTGTGCCGACCCAGTCACCCCACCCCCCGCTTCCACCTGCGGTCCCACCAACGCGGTGTCAACCGTTTATGTCACGGTGAGCCCTACTGGTTCCAGTTCTCGTCTGATTCATCATCATTCCTCCCACGGCTTTCATTCCAGCCACCACCCGCATTCCACCCACGCCCTTCCTGCTCCCTCCTCCACTGTCACTGCCTCTTCCAAATACGTGAAGCCCGGAATCGTGCCTAAGACTATTGGTTGGTGCTCAGACTACTCCCACCCCGTGACCTTGGACAAGGTCCCAACGCCGACCCCGGTACCAACTAAACACAATGACAATGGACTCTCTACGGTGACTGCTGCACCGAGTGAGGTCACTGGCGACGCGAAGATCGTGACGATCACTACCACGGTGTCCGTACCTGCTGCTCCGGGAGACGAACAATGCCTTTTTGTCTGAACACGGCGATGCTGTGTTAGAAAATGATCTTTACTTCTTTGATACTATGTATTTAGTATATTCTTTTATTACTGGAGATACGGTCCCACCATACCGGAAATCGTACCAGGACCACTTCCGCCATGGTAAATGTTTAAATTTAAAGTACAACTCATCCTACAGTCGCAAGTACGAAGAGGTTACATTTACCTTATGCGGTTACTAGTTTGTGCTAGACGTAGCCTAGCCGTTATATAGTTGATTAAACCCTCTGTTCTGTACTATACGGTAATAACGCAGGTCTGCTCCACATTGGTATCTGGTCATGCAATAGTACAGTATAGTCAATTTCCTAGTAGAAAGTACGAAGAGTTTTCGCCTTGTCGTGGCAACGAAATTAGGTTAACACAAAGAAACTCTGTTGCCCGCGGCCGTTTCCCTTCCTTGTTCTATTGTACATCCGATACCCCATGGAAGTGACATGGCTTGGCAACGCTAATTATAGCTCAGCGCTGAGTGATAAGGGTCATATACAAGTAGACTATGTTGGGGGTGGGCGGTTTAAGTGTACTAACGCAAACAAAGCCTCAGGCTTGGCAATATATTGGAATCTGGATGGTAGCCATACCTCCACCACTACCTATAAATATATCCACAACATCTTCACCGATTGATACATACAGGTGGCTGAAACAATGAGCAGAATTATGTGTATGCTTTGACAATGTCAGGGGCAACCCTTCGTCAAGGAACCTAGATAGCGTTTGCGCGGCGGTCATAGCATTGCATGAGACCATCATTGTTCCACACCATGATATCTTTGATCCTTCCGTTAGAACCCAACCATGATGATCCGTGTAAAGAAACTTACCCAAGTCAAGCTCTGCCTTCTTGAAGGCACCCAACTGTGAAGTCATACACACGCACTGTAAAGTATGTGGCGACTCTTTGAGAACTTGACAACCAGTACATCCGGGATTTCCCCAGAAATGGCCGCTACACCACGTTAATCACAGCCGAGTCTACGGAGTACAAGGGGAAGATATACATACTTAGCGTGCGGTTCCATACCTCCATATGTGGCCCGGATGCAGAAGTTCAGGTCTAGAGAGCTCTTCTTCTTTTCCCCGTTTGACCTAGTACATTCTGCTTCCAAGTGGTTGCCACCCTTTGGAACGGTAATCTTGTCGCAGGTCTTCGAGAAATCAGCCTTAGGCTCGCTTTCATCCCGACGGATGGCATGAGCGGAGGCGGAGGCCAGTAAAGCCAGGATAGTAATTGTCCGGGGTACTTGCATATTTATCGATGAGTCGATGGATAGTGGTGGGTAGAGGGGAGAGATGAATTCAGAGAGATTTTGGGGTTGCTCGTTCAAGCTATTTATGTCGCCACTGCTCCCTATATGTAGTCATTGGTTCGTTGCCCTGCCCCTTAAACAGGTCTTTGTTCTCTTGTCCTTCATTTCGGGCGCTGGTTCCTTAGGGCTTGGATATTGCATATTGGTTCATCATCTCGGTACCCAAGATCTTGAAACTTTTTTAGGTGACCTTTTTTTTCCAGCGAATGAGATTAATGACAGTAGATTCAAAGAGGTACAGCAGGCGAGTATTAATTACGGCTTCTCCTTCGTCAAGCCGACTAACGCCCGACTCTTCTAATTTCCAAAGGGTGTCACGCGCATTCTTAACGCAAACAGAAAGAGGAATGTGCCAGCTTGGGGAAATTTCCTTACACATGTAGGCAAAAGCTATTTAATGTCTTGGACCAAATGAAGGCAGAGTTGAGGGTTCATGACTTATCAAAGGGCAATAGACATTAATGCAGGACGTCTATAGAGTGTCGGGCGTAAGACCCCAGATAAAGAGCACTCCGTAGCCCAACTAGATGCCTGAGGCAGACACCGATGTCCTTTGGGGATGAGTCTTGAAGAATCGTCCGTCGCAATTATTAAACTAGCATCGGTGTACATAAATCTTTTTGCTGTGCTGCAAAGCAGGCCTAGCTGATTACCTATCAGGATAGAATGACTGCGTCTATATCCTAGATTTCTGTGGGAGCACAAGTCTTCACCAGCCAGCACCGCGCAAAAGTCGATCAAGGACCCTGAAGACCCTGTAAATAGGATGGGTGGTTTACACTGACTTGTATGCGCATGATAAACGAATGTCCCAGGTCTTCTGAAATTTTGATAACAGTAATAAAGTTGAGAACCTTGATTTATGTTTATTTTTACCTTCTTGTCTTTGGCTTCCTAAGCACCTAGGGTTTCAATAAACTGACTGTAGCCGGTTAAGGTTAATAAGTACTACAACAATAGCTAAAGGGCCCCTGTACACATATGCAACGCGGTGGCATAGGCCTCTGGGGATCCAAAAGCCTGTCCAATAGTAATAGCCGTAAAGTTCACGTCACAGAGTTGGAGCCGTCTTCGACATGTCGACGTAGGCTCTCGCACTTATCTAACTGCGTTAGTCGTTTTACGTAGTTTCTGCAGAGGGCCCACTCCGCATAGTCGTCGCACCTGCCAACAATTTATATCATAAAGCCGTTACGCTGCATTACCTTATCGGGGCTTGATAGATTCTAAGCCCCGAGTATGCTTGTAAGTGGGTCTATTATCCTGTGTTTGTACCTGTGTCACTACAGTGGCAGCAGTTCCCATGCATTTATAGACTGGTTGGATATGCTGCTCCTAGATGCTCACGCAGCCAAAAACCGGAGGTAGTACCTCGAAATATGATTCTGATTCTTGCCCTAACCATAGCGGGAATTTGCATTAATATGCTGCCAAAGGTCCAGTTCTATAACAAAGGGTAAAATGTCTTCGTCGAGGCACCCAAGAGAGCTTTGCAGGATTTGAAGAATCGGTAGCAGTCCATCGTTCTCTCGCCGCTGAATAAGCGGACTCATGTCTGAGTCTCCACAATTTATCGGTGCAAAAGTAGCCGTGTAAGGTCAGGGTCCTGAAGAGTTTTAACTGGCCCTCAATTTACAGCACATTGGAAATAGGCTCTTCCGTTTTGTAACTTCTATGCTGAGCGAATATTGATATTCGTGTCTCGCGACTTAATATCTCGTATCGAAGAAGTAACCGGCTCTTACACCGTAATTACATTTCAGTACCTGTTCAAATGAGCTGGCTTGTTAAGAGTGAGATGAGTTTAGTTCCAATAATATACACAGAGGCAGCCCATATTCGTGGTTTTTGTTCTGCCTCGAACTTCCAAAACTCAAAAGTGATGGATCACGAACTCGCCACATATGATTTAGACCCCGTATCTAAATTCTCGGACCTTCTTCTGGTAGTAATAAGATGCTAATAAGCCAGTGGCTCCAAGGGCTATAGGTATAGGAGACTTTGCTCCGGTCTTGATGGTCCGGGAGACACCAGCGCCTAGCAGGACTAGACTGTTTCCCAAGGCAAGTTCGGTGCCATAGTCCTTATTTTCTTTAATCAGGTAACCTGATCATGTGGTCAGTTTATATTGCTATTTCGCATGAGCACATCTTCAGTGCCACTTACCTGCACACGCATAGGAAACTCCTAGCCCAACTCCCGCGATCAAAGAAGGTGCTGAGCGCGTCCGCAAATATCCGGCAACGCCCCCTGCAGGTACTGTTTTATTGCGAATAATTAGCAACTCCTTGCGCTGATATCACATTTCCACTAGCTACTTACAAAGAGCAGCAAGAGTAAAGGAAGGATGTTCAGCCATATTGTCAGGATGTTAATAACGGAGCAAGTGGTTGGATTCTTCACGACAGAGGTTGAGATCGGCAATTTTTAGGTGAGCAAGGGAAGCTCTCTTAAGCGTTCAAAACATCGACCCACTCTATTTTATTGGCTCATCTGTGATCACGTAATCACCACTAAGCACCCGGTCATCCCGAGGAATTGTTTATCCTCTCATGAGTTAGATTCCCAGATAGACAAGCCAGGTTAGGACGGCGGTACAATGTGTATCTCTTTTGCAGATGTTTGATATCTGAAGAACCTGGTTTATAGAACATCTATTCATATTATGGGGGATTAGACGTACTTTCTTGTTATATGTACGGTATATATATTTTCTACGAGCCCGGGTTATACGGTACTAATTGACCTAAATTATATAGTACCCTGATCTAAATATGATCTATTGCCCTGGCATAGCGTCTAATTCCCGTAGTCTTCTGCATAAACGGTGCCAAGATTTGATACCATTCGAAGGACGTATCCCCAAGATAAACTTCATCAGAACGAATGGGAATTAGAGTAGGGGCTAAGAGGAGCTGTTCAAGGAGCTATCATTACTGTGGCCAAGGTTACAAGTCTAGACATCGTTTACTCTAGAAGAGTGGTAGAAGTATTTGCGATACTATTACTAGGGGTCTGCTACCTATTTCAAGTCTGAAAACACACAATTACTCCTGTTCCATCTTTTGTGATGACAGCGTAGGATGGTAGTACTGGGCACATAACAAAAAGCACAATTCACATCAGATGTTATAAGAACGGGTCGCAGCGTAGGAACTCAAAGTTACAAACAGGCAAAAGCATGCGTTGGTTTCCCTCCTCCATTGGCATCTGGTGTAATCCAAAGTAGCCTATTTAAAAGGTGTCGAACAAAATGTCGAACCCCTATAGGTTTTCAATCTCGTCAAGGTTTTCCACATCCACTCCATCATCTTCGGAAACTTCGGGGATAACCTGGCCCTCAATATCAGGGTCCACCTCGGAACCGTCAAAGTTATCGAATTCGTCAGGCTGGACATCGGCCACCTCATCACGCTTCTCGAACTCAATAGTGTCAGGGTCGAATTCGAGCTCTTCGTCACGCTTTCCAAAGTGGCGGACAGCAGTATAGTAGACATCGGCGAGGCGACGGCACTCGACGCCCTTCCACGAGCTCCAGCCGGAGAATTGGCTGCAGTACTTGTAGAGATCCTTCTTGAAGTTGTCGTCAATGCGCTTCTTCATGGCCTTCGTAAAGCGCTTCTGCTTCTTGGTGTTCCGGTAGCCGAAATCGTGTCTTTGGCAGCTGGGGATGAAGTTGTATCCATCCGGCTTGTCGGGCGACTTGGAGCAGTTGTCCGATGACCAGTTGCACTTGGAGGGGTTCTTGGCCTTGCGCGCCTTCTGGAAGGTCTTCATGGAGACCTTGAAGATGAGGTTATCCGTCGCCTTGGCCGAGCATGTCGTCGCGCGCGCTTGTAGAGCAGAGATAGGGTTGTCATTGACAGGAGTGGTGTAGGGCAAGGCAGACGAAACTGCAGCGAAGAGACCCAAGGTAGCAACAAAGATATTCTTCATGTTGATAAGTGGCTTGTGGCCGGATAGAGTAGACAATGAATAGTGGATTTGATACTTGCGGGAGATTGTTGATGATTCTGAACGAGCTATATGACAGGAGATGACCCGCCCTTTATACTCGCGATTGACTGTTATGACTGTCATGAGCTGTCTTCCTGAACGAGGCCATTTCGTACTCGGTGAACTACATCTCGCTCCGCCCCCATTCTGTTGTATCGTCTGGCACTTCTGCAGTGTCTAATTGTGGACCTGATGCATTTCATCCCCTCTCGCCAAGATATTATTTGCCTTTCTTTACGAGCTCCGAAAATGAATATCATTAAGATTCTCGACATTTTATTGGAGAAGAAGAGAACCCCCTTCGGGATACGATAGAGGGCTTTATGATCTGCAGCATCTGAATTGTAACGACCACATTCACTTCCTTGGATAAGTTGAGCCTCGGATGAGCTTTAGAGGCTGATTGGCCCTGGAAATTTCCTTGAATCAAGGTAGTATCGTATCCAATAATAGTAAATTCCGGACGGAAATGACACAGGTACGAGCATGGCTCGCAAGCCAAGACTTAGTGAAGAATCTTGGGTTCCCTTCGTGACTCGTAAAGCCCATTGTCGCGCAGCTGCCGTGCTTGTTGTGTATGCCAAGATGATCGTCAAGGTGGTAGACCCTTGATTCTAAAAATAGCTCGTAGAAGGTTATCCTCGGAGGATCCCCCACTGAAGAAACCATTGTTAATCCTATTCTGCCATAACCATGTATCCTTTTTTCTTCCAAGATGGGACCAGTGATCACGCCTTTATTTTTGGTTGTTGATTATTTAGGAGTAATTTGGCACGTCTCCGAACTGTCCAGCAGCAGTACATGCCACATTTTGACTATGCGATATTTTCCAGGAGAGCGAGAATCGACACAAATTGACGCAATACGAGGTCAAGCTATGCCAAGAAAAAATCCGACACTACACATCGTAAAAGCTTTAAGTTCGGCATCGGCCCGGCGTTACTTCTACATAAGGCCAAGAGTCTCATGAAGTGCGCTCATTGCTCATCGTTTAATATTACGAAGGCACTTAATCAGTGGGGAATTACCCACTTAGACAGCGACCTTTTCTTGCCATTGATAGATGGTCTATGCAAGGCTTGTGGTAGTGATAGCATTAGTTTCACTGGGATATTCGATACGAGGTTGCTAAATCTGTAGCGTAGTGTTCGTGGAGTCTAGTTCCACATAAGGTATTGCGGTGTATATTGTCCAGCTTACTCTTCTTTGCTAACAGAATAGATTGTTTTGCTCAAGGAAAGGCAAGAATCATCACTTTTAAATCTCTAGAGGCCCACCAGGTAGAATGGAGTCTCGTCTGTTCGACAACCAGTGCGCTGAGACAAACAACAGAACACCAAGCTCTCATTACATGGTCACCTCGTGCTTCTCGCCCGTCTGGCAGGCTCAGGACCATTGTTCAAGCGTCTAGCTGACAGTCCCTGGCTGTCTGAACCTCAGAACAACATCTCCTTTAACTGTTCTTCGCACGTGCTGAGGAATGTGGGGTTTGTCGATTATATTCTAGGTGATATCCACGCCTCTAGGCCCTAACTCTATAAATGTAGGTGCTACGCCTGTGCTCCATTCATCGACTCCGTCACTTGATTTTTCATGTGATGCCTTTACGCATAGGTAGTATCGCTGCTTGAAGCCAACATAATGGACGATGGCTAACAACCACTGTCTACCTACATCCGCTGAAGGAACCTAGCAAAATGAATAGCTTTGGGCCCACCTTCGTCTCATCTGGAAATAACCTACATGTCGGTGGCGGTATATCCAAAGAATGTGCAAGTTCATATAATCATCAGGTGTTCCTTTAATCAGCTGTATGGTCCCTTCCCACGTTAAAAGAATGTGCAGGCTGGACACCCTGCAATAAGAATGTACCTTGTTACTTGGACAAGAGATGGCCGTGAATGTTGGTCTGTCTATAACCTTATCGGCATGCCTACTTGTATGTAGGCTACGAATTGGGTAACACCTAAGGGTGGATAGTATTACTTTTGTTATTTCCATTCTTGTTTAGGATTGACAGAAACACGCAAAGTCTGGGTGAGGGAAACTTCTATATAGTTTCGTGTGTTGAAGCAGGATAATCATGAAGGATAGAGTATTGTTAGCAGTTCCCCAATATCAAATGAACGGGATGTTAAACGTTTAGCCGAGACACTGTCCTGCCACGTGTCCAACACCATATGCTGATTGACTCAGCATTCCTTTATAAAATGCCACATAAAGGATCTCAATGATCCAGGAGTAAGTTGAATAAACTTCCTTAACCAGTGGGAAAACTTAATTTGTCTGAGAGCGATCATGTTCGATGGAGATAGGGGCTCCACAAGCATGGCTCCTACTCCCTCTCCGCCACCACAACCGGCTTCAACCCCAGGACGAGGCCCGGAAGGTACGCCTTCCCTTGACGGGGTTGAGGAGGCTGAAGAACCTGTTCCAATGACCCAAACGGTGGCTATTATCACCAGCATCACCTGTATCACCGGTATCGGGAATCTGCTTGCCGGGCTGCTCACTGTGTGCATTCCAGTCATTGCGGCTGACCTCCACATTCCTCCAGCACTACAGCTGTGGCCAACCGCAGCCTTCGCACTCGCCTGTGGCTGCGTCCTGCTCCCTTGCGGGGCTGCAGCTGATGTGTTGGGATGTCGCCGCGCGTGCCTGCTTGGTGGGTTGCTTCAAACCACTAGCGCCCTGGGCGCGGGACTATCAGCTACAGGAACTCAACTGATCGCGCTGCGAGTGATCGCGGGCCTTGCCGCGTCCTTCTGCCTGCCAAGTGCTGTTGGCGTCACGGCCCACGTCTTCCCTGCCAATAGCAGCCCGCGTCGTCGCAGTATTGCCTTCGCAGCCATGGGTGGTGGCCAGGCAGTTGGCTTTGGATTGGGCCTAGCACTGGGCGGCGTGTTTTCGGACACAGTTGGCTGGCGGTGGGGGTTCTATGTGACTGCGATACTCAACAGTGCGGTGCTAGCCCTGGCGCTGTGGGCAATACCAAACAGTGCGGATGGTGGTCCGCTGGGGAAGGCATCGCTCGTGCGCCTCCGCCGAGATGTAGACTGGATTGGCGCTCTGGTCATCAGCGCTTGTCTTGCACTTCTCTCCTATGAACTAGCTGTCGCCACCGGATCAGATGCGAATCAAAGTATGCGTCAGCCCCTAAACATTGTCCTTCTTTGCTCAGCATTGGCACTCATACCAGTATTTGCCTTATGGATGGGGCGACAATTTCGACTCAGTCGTCCAGCGCTGATTCCAAACTCGCTTTGGGCCAACGTGCCGTTTACGGCTATTTGTATCACAGTGTTCCTTGTCTGGGGCACCCTCAATGCAAGTGAGCAGCTCACAGCCCTGTATCTCCAAAACGTCCGGGGTACATCGACTTTGACGGCCTCCTTGTATTTTATGCCGGCCCCCGTGTGTGGTCTTCTAATGAATGCAGCCATCGGCATCTCACTCCCATACTTAAAGCCCTCGATCGCTGTGCCCGCAGGATGTCTCGTGAGTGGTATTGCCCCGCTCCTGCTTGCAACCCTATGCGGCGTCGACGGACCTGGGTATTGGCGTGGTGTCTTCCAAGCCATGGCTATAAATCCGCTGGGGGCAGACCTAATCTATACCATCGCAAACCTAGTGATGACAGACTCATTCCCTGCCAAGACCCAGGCCCTTGCCGGTGGCGTCTTTAACATGCTAGCTCAGGTCGGGAAGAGCGTGGGCATTGCAACATCAGCACTAATTGCGCGGCAAATAACCTCGCAAACATATAATGCAGAGAGCGCTACCGCCTTATTAAAGGGGTATAAGGCCGGATGGTGGTACAACTGTGGATTGGGGTTTATCTCGGTAGCTGTGAGCTTTTGGGGATTGAGGAGTGTTAAAAGGCTTGAAATTAAGAAAGACTGATTTGTTGGCAAATCAAGAATTCTCGCTTTTGGAACATAGCATATACTTTGGCTACCTGAGCTATTACTGATCTGAAAGTCAAGTTTATTTCACAAATATCATAGAAGGAAAATAGGACAGCCCCTTGATAGGCAGTCAGGAATGGTGATAACAAAGGAACTAGATGCGCGACTACTCGCCACATACCTTTGCTTTCACCGTTTCATGCACTTCCACCAGCCGCCCATTCACAGTCCACAATTATATGAGGATTCTCCTAACGAGCCGATTGGCTTTGCGTCAGCTCCTGACACCATCAGCCTCTTATATCCTGCCCTGCGAACTGAATCAGGAACCGCTTAAAATCACCCTGAAACAAATGTTTTGTTCGTAGCAATTGCCCGTATTCGAAGATTGTTGCGAGCATATCAAGTGAGCACGTGCTGATAAATGACAATCCAAAGCTTATTGCAAGCATGAGTCTCGTTTTACCGAAACCCTAATTTAATATACGGTTCAGTTCCGGCCACTGAGAATGTATGTTTAATAATATTAAGACGATTAAACTGAGACGCCGGCCCGTTAACAGTGGAACTTAACCTGCGGGGGAAAGCAGAAATGCCGACAGGCCTGACAGTTGGATCAATATCTTCCAGATAATAACACACGTTCCCTTAGACGACAAGACACTAACTCAGGAACCCCACTGAACCCGACCAATACAAGACTCAGACAAGATCATATGGGCAGATAAGATAGCGGAAGTCCGACGGGAAAGAAATTCAGGGCGAATTTATGCAGAGTTGTGGAGACCGGAACGTGAATTATCGATTGGTCAATGTTTTGATTACAGAGTTACATTAAACAACCAAGAGATGTGAGGGGCTTTTGCTAAGGGGCTCGACTATATATAGCATTCGCCAGAAAGAAAAATTGAGGACCTTGGTATCCTTTCTCAGTGTTGTATTCAATATATTCTTCGATCATGCCGCGCTTACTCCCCATCTCAGCGGCTACATTGGCTCTGGCCCAGCTCAGTTATGGCTGGGGCAACTTAGGTCACGAGGCGGTGGCCTACATTGCCCAGAGCTTCGTTGCTTCTTCAACTGAGTCCTTCTGTCAAAATATTTTGGGCGATGACTCCACCTCTTACTTGGCCAACGTTGCAACATGGGCCGATTCGTACAAATACACTGATGCCGGAGAATTCTCCAAGCCATATCATTTCATTGATGCACAAGACAACCCACCGCAGAGCTGTGGAGTAGATTACGATCGGGATTGTGGTAGTGCTGGGTGCAGTATCAGCGCGATCCAAAATTACGTGAGTTACATTACATTTAATATAATATAGGAAGCTAATTTCACCCAGACCAATATTCTGTTGGAATCCCCAAACGGCTCGGAGGCATTGAATGCCCTGAAATTTGTGGTTCATGTTCGTCGTTCCCCTTGACCATTTTGATCCGATTTCCTAACTTGTCCCAGATCATCGGAGATACTCATCAGCCCCTGCACGATGAGAACCTCGAGGCCGGTGGTAACGGTATTGATGTGACGTATGATGGAGAAAAAACCAACCTCCATCATGTCTGGGATACCAACATGCCCGAGGAAGCCGCAGGTGGCTATAGTCTCTCGGTCGCAAAGACCTATGCCGACCTTCTGACTGAGCGCATCAAAACCGGTGCCTACTCATCCAAGAAGGACTCATGGACAGATGGGATCGATATCAAAGACCCTGTGGCGACATCAATGATCTGGGCGGCCGACGCCAATACCTACGTCTGCAGCACAGTGTTGGATGACGGACTGGCATACATTAACTCCACGGACTTGTCCGGCGAGTACTACGACAAGTCTCAGCCAGTCTTTGAGGAACTGATCGCGAAAGCTGGGTATCGGTTGGCGGCTTGGTTGGATCTGATTGCGAGTCAGTCCTCTTGAAGGAAACGTTCCAGAGAGTGCGCATTCCCGTCTTATGAAAGCTAAGCTTAGTATATGTAAGCTATTTGATCTGTGCCTACGTGGCGAACTCCCCAGGGAAGGCTCAAGAAAGAATAACCTACTAATGTAGCGAAATGTATACTCACTATGAACTATCCTACTACCAAAGACTCTCTCGCTTCCAAATTTTGTTGTATGGAAGGTATATAACTAAAAGAATTGCAGATGCTATGAACATAATTAAAATACACTGTCGCAATGGCCAATAATTGATACTCAATTAAATCAATACCCAACGGACTCCAAGTGATCCTTGTTTGCATAATTCCATATGCAACCGTGCAAATCTCAAACACCAGGCATACTATGCACCCCAACGGAGCTATCGCTTTTTTCACACGATAATGATGAATGTACATTTTACTCTAGACAATCTGTTTCTCGTGGATACTATTGCAATGATGTGTCACAATCTACTGCTCAACATCGGAAGAATAACACGTTTCACTCTTGATTTCGTAGGATCAGGCCTAGTAATACCTCAAAGGCAGTCATATTCTAAAACAGCAGAAGGATTATTTCTCAGCTGCGTGACAAATCTATTCTGCAAATGGCTCCCGAAATTAACTTGATAAGGCGTCAAGATACCTGCGCCTTATACCGACCTGTAAACTGACAGGCTTACGGAGCCATCCCTCACGAACTTCCAAGGGCCCTGGTCGCTCCACATGAACATGAAACAACCGGAATAACGTCGCACAGCCCACAAACAACTCCATCTCAGCCAGATTGCGACCAATGCAGGCGCGAGGGCCTTCACTAAATGGAATGAATGAGTCCTTCTGTCTTTGGGTGAGGCGACGTGGGTCCCAACGCTCTGGAATGAAGTCCTCCACATCGATACCCCAAATATCCACTGAATGATGCATAGTGTATCCCGGTACAGAGAGAACGTCACCCGGATAGAAGGTGTGGCCGCATATCTCGACAAGTCCTCTCTCGGAGGGAACCTCGCGTGGAAGGCCTTGGCCAAAGGTGCTATGGATGCGGAGCGTCTCCCAAACAACCCATTGAAGACTATGCTGTTGTCAATAATTTTGCGTGCAGTTGGTCTATCTTTGGAATATGACGCCCGAGACGGGGAAAGAAAACAGCATACGCTAAAAATGGTGGCTTTGACTTACTAGGTGATTTTCTTCACCATTGCGAGATACGGGACCTCGACGTCAGCAGGGATAGCTTCATCCAGAGTGTTCTGTAGCTTCCACAATACACGTGGGGTGCTTGAGATCCAGTATAAAAGGGCACATAATGTGCTAGAACTGGTATCTGACCCAGCTGCTATCAGGGTCACGGCCTCGCCAGTGAGCTCTCGATGACTCAATTTTGCACCATCTTGATCTTTCGCATCAATCAAATGAGTGAGGAAATCTTCTCGTTTCTCCGCCGCTGACACTTTCATTTCAAGGCGCGTGTCGACGGCCGCTCCAGCTACATCAGCTAAATTGGAGATAGCCTCTGCGCCTTGGCGGAAGAAGGGATCAGGCAACCACGTGGCATAGGGAATAAGAGCTGGGCAGATAGCAAGAGTGGCAGAGACATCACCACGATAATTAAGGACTTCCACAACGTCGAGGGTGACTTCTAGACCGTCTGGTGCTTTCGGTATAGACACTGTAGGGTTCCCCCTCTCCAGCATTCCAAGCGGCGCACCAAATGCTAAGTCACCGATGATATCAAAGGTTAGATAATTACACCATACACGGGCATCGATCACCGCATACGGATCGTCTGGACCTTCATGCGAATCAATCATCTTGCGCCACTGTCTGACCAAAAGCTCCACATTGTTGTGCGCGTATTCTTCGACTTGGGCAAGAGACCTCGCGCTGAATGCGTGGGAGACGATCTTGCGCTTGCGCGTGTGTTCGGCACGACTGCGGGTTGTGAATATGCTCCAGTCAACGTTCAAAAATGCATTGTAAAAGTCGCTGCGATGGGTTCGGTCAGACTAGCAGCAAGAAAACGGAACTCGTTTTGGATTTACCTCTTGAGGAACCCATTGCCATGTCCATATATGGCTTGAATGGCTGATTCGTCTGCGACAGAGATATGGTTCGGAGCCAGGCGGACAATCCTACCGTGCCGTCTATGTAGGTCGTTAACGACCAGGGAGCGATGCCCCTGACGAACCTGTAGAATAAGCCAGATTCTGCTGAAGGCAGCAATAAAGGGTCCTGGGATATCACGGAGATGCCACCTCTTAATGTATCCTGCAACGTAGTACGCCGCCAGCAGGCCGATAATAAGGATCAGAGCAAGAAGATACAAAGGACAGGTAATGAGGTACGGGTCGAGCAACATGGTAGGTAACTCCACACAAGAAAAGAATACAGAGTCTGCTATGAGGTTGACCAACGAGGGGCCGCCGTTTGCAGAACGATAGCAAATTCTGGGTTTTCTCGGTACGTGCTCAAGGGCTTATCTCAGTCAGGAAGTTTGTAGTTGCCCTCCGGTCAATCGTGCGCCATAATAAAAATCCAAGGATACAACGGATGACTGCAAGTCCTGACGGCAGCCAGGAAGATGACTCCGGGAACAGAGATAGACCTGGTAGCTTGGAGTGGGCCGTTTGCCTTACCCAGAAATGTACATGCGTGAGAGTGTATCTCCCTGCGCGAAACATAGCAACAGATGTATGCGTACCAGTGACCTAACCGTGTAATGGTTATGCAGTAACTTCACGTTGCTTGGAATGGCTCCATGACGTGAAAATATCGCAATCTCACTCCAAAACCTTCTTATGAACTCATGGTCGAAGAAAGGCCAACATTGTACTGCGCTGTTATGGGAACGATAATCGCAGATTGAGAAGTTAGGCCGTCCTGCTAACCTTCAATGAATCGATGTGGGCAAGTAGAAGCAAACAATGGGATTACATATCATAAGTAACTATACATCTAGACCATTGGAACCCTGGCGCGGTGTTAGTTAGCGTCATTTCACCACAGTTAACAACCTACGGACACCGTATGGTATTCTACGAAGTACAAATTAGGGGGAGGGGACAACCTACCGAGGAGCACTGTAATCCAACCAACGTACCTGTGATTTCCAGGGATGCATTTACATTATATTATTATCAATGATAAACTGAACCGTATCAATAACGCTTTTCTCACGACAGATTTAGCTCCATTGTCCATCGACAGATCCCGTCGCCAAAATATCCTGGCTAATGCGCGTATCCCACCCGGTTGGATGGACCCCATATGACAGAGTTTGTGCAGGATTGCCTTCCGGTACCCTTTCCCTGAGGGACGGGAAATGTTTCCGAATAATATTGGCTACTAGTTGAGGAGTCATGCGTTCAGAAACAAGAAGAACCCGTTGGCTCGCTGCTGCAGGGTTCGTCAGAGCATCTACATGGCTTCTGGCGACATCACGGACATCAACCTGAGTGTCATCAGCGCTTCTGATGTCAAACGCATGACTGCGTGGACATATACAAAGTGGTAAAACGGAAAGCGCACATCCTCGGGGCCGTCTTTGTAGACGCCGTCGATAAGATTCGCAAACACAAAATAATTCGTTGCATTGATAGAGCTCATACCCGAGATCGGGTACATCATCGGTCCCGTGATGAGGTGAGGGTCCATAACTGTGAGATCAAAGGCAGGTGAGTTCATTTTCATAAACTCCCATGCTGCTCTTTCCGCCTGCACCTTAGAGACTAAGTACCCTAAGACGCCATCGCGACGCTCCAATGCCTGTTGTGCAGTTACCTTCCTCATTTATTAGCCGCTGTGTGCTGAGGGAAATGCATCGATGTCATATCCCCACAGGGTTCCAGTCCTCCTCTGTGTATGGAGACCCCGGCCGCGCGATATCCTCAAAGGAGTTCAAGACTGTGCCAGCACTACTCAAAAGGACGAACCGCTTCAGGTCCGTTCCACCATATCGGTGAGCACTCCTGAGGATCTCAATGACTCTAACTATTTTAGTAATTATTCAGATACGTTGCAGGTTATAAGAATATTTTTCACACCCAACTACAGCAGTCTCAATTACACGCTTCTGCATGTCTTCCGCCTGAAGCGTGATCGGTGACGCTGTGTGAATTACGAAGGCGAAAGGCACTTCCGCATTCCGGAACACTTCATCGAATGGTTGTTGTCCAGTAAAGTCAGGGAACTATTACGAATTTAACTCTGCCCTCCAAGATTGGTGTGTTCTCATAATGGCTGTTGCTTTCTCCTGTGACCGGACGGTTGCAGTAATGGCGTATCCACGCTGTTAAAGGTCAGATGCGACGTCTCTCCAGAACAAAGCGGTATGTCACCTCAAGTAAAATAGATAAAATGTGAGATGCAGTAAAACCATTGGCGCCTGTCAGAAGAACGTGCTGCTTCTCCATTTGAGCTACCATATTGAGCAAAATGGATGAGGAAGGCTTTCAGGTCGTGATGATTCTCGCCGTTTATGCGGCTCCCTAGTAGCTGATGTGTCTCTGCACAAGTATATAAGAATATGCTTCGTGGCTCCCCTCGAGATGCTTTTGAATAAAGCATGAATTGTATGATTACGTCATGGCTAGACAATTTGATGCACTGTAGTCTGGTTCAGGCCTTTGAAACTTGGTAATATGCCAGCTTGTTTTGAATGATGAACCTTCTAAATGCGCATTGAACCAGATTGGAGGCTATCGGCCCGGTTTCCTGCCCGTGGTAGGTGGTCAGCACCTCGATGCAGACCTTGCTGTAATTACTTTGGGGATGTCTACACATTCCCGTACCACATTCGCCCTGATGTCTTGAGACAAGCAATGTTAATCTTAATTTCTTTGTAAAACTAGCAGCAAGAACAAACCATTACCCATGAACTGGTAGAACACACCGCCCAGATGCTTAGGGCGGGTACATGCATCAATAGACTTGCGGTTCACAAACGATTCATCTTCGGGTCAAGCCGACTCGGTAGCCTCACTACTTTCTCTACATGAGGCAATTCTGTGGGTTGCTCGTGGCTGCTCTAATCAAACTATCTAGACCGATTTCAAACTTCCGTTAGAAACGCACTGGCATAAGATCAAGGCGTTTTATCTTAAGGCTTTAGATATTACTTACTACAAATTACCAACGTACGCAGAGCGCATTATAACCGGGTGGCATTGACGCCATAGCTCAACAAGCAGTTCGATCTGCAGTTTCCACCTTCGTGTTCTTTCAATGGCTATGGTGGGACTTCCCGTAGATATGATATCTGATTCGAGGGACGATCAATGAAGCATGCTCCTCTTCAGCCGTGAGAATCCCAAATCCCGAAGTCAGCTCAATCGTACGCTATCGAATTTTTAACTCACTATGACTTCATTGGTTCGCTAAATATATCTGTCCCCATTTGTCCTGGTGACAAGACAAGGTCAGTTGGAGTTATCTCCGCATATGTGGACCTGCCTGGCGCTTCAGAGTTATATTATGTGCAGGGATCCCCGGTTCCTAAACATCTTGGCATGGCAAGAACCACAGTGAGGTTGGGCGAAAATGAGAAACCGTTGGTCACAGTGTGATTTCTAAACTGAACCAATTTCCACGGGATGTATTACAAAAAGGAAAAGTGCTGCCGGGCTTGTTGCTGGATTGCTCTATTGCTCTCATACGGACTGGTCGTATGAATAGCCCCTAGGAAGACACCCATCACCAATCTCCGAAGAGTGGACCTGCACTATTCCACGCTTAGTACTTCCTAATTAGTGTATATATTGTCGATCCTATACGTCAACCAGGTGACCAGCCTGTGGTTCGTGTCTTAAATGCTGCTAAAGCACCCCCAGACCATAAAACCGGCTACATGCAGGTTGCAAAACTAAACCTAAATCCTTGAACCGCTATCCTATAGTCTAGGACATTAAGTGAAAATTCCCTGTTTTCAATGCGTATATTTGTCATTTATGATCACATCCCTAGATGGGAAGCGCAATCTTAGCCGACGGCGGGACACCATAGATCCTTTAACGATGAATTTACTTGGGGATTATGTGTACGTTGTGCAAGAAACACGGTATAAGCCATGAGATCCGGCTGAGGCTTTGCAACTTGATCAGATTCTCTTCACGGGGATCAACATAACAGAGGTATGCAGTACTCTGCTTCCAGGCTGAAGTCTTCAGGGCGTTTGATGCGTGTAGGTAGCCCCTAAGTCCACTTTTTGCTGTTCGGGTTTCCTCCAGGGGCGAAATGCATGAGGGGAATTAACCAACACGAGGGCAGGGGTGACATCCCCCAGACGGGCGGGAGGAGCAGGTGCCAAACATGCATCGAGCCAATGTAACAGCACGATCTGATGTCTAGCTCATGCAGATTCTGGGTGGAAGTAAAACACCCGTCCGGGGTGTTCAAGTGATCTCCCAATCATAAACATCCAATGCGCTGACCCACCAGGTTCTAGGCCTCATAGAGTGGCATGTTTCCCTGCAACAGTTTGACCACCTATCGTACTTTTGTGCCCGAGGGCAAAGACTCTGTACCTGGAATAGCAATATGTAAGTTCAAGCAGGCGAAATGCATCAAGTCAGGCAGAACGCAAATGCAGTACCACAGGCATCTGACTGACCCCAGATCAGCTATAAATACGGCCTGCAATCCCATTGAATTCGTTCTTTTCTTCATCAGACACACAGGCCCCTTATCCGCTTCATCCTCTTTCTCAAAGAATCAAAAACCTCTACACCTCTCGTCCGCTTCTACGTCGAAGTCCTCATCTACCAAAATGCAATTCCGCTCCGTTATCGCCCTCCTGGCTGCCGCTACTGCCGTCACCGCTGCTCCCTGTGACAGCTGTGATGGTGGCGACTCTGGCGACTCTGGTGACTCCGGTTCCCAGTGCAGCTCTAACCAAGAAATGAAGTGCTGCTCCGGTCTCACCAACGGGATCCTGAACCTCGACATCCTGCCGGTCCTGTGCCTCCGTAAGCTTTGAACCTTGATAGAAGATCCATGTTCATCTCTAATCCCACCTTAGCTCTTCTTGGCAACTGCAACAACCAGGTCGCCTGCTGCGAGACCAATGGAGTTGTGAGTGATTTCCTTTGCTTTGATTCACAATACGGAACCTAATTATCTATCTGCAGGGCCTCCTAAACTGTCTCACTATTCAGCTCTAAGTTGATCGCATTTCGCAACCGCCAGTAACGATAAACGGGCGATCACCAGCGATGAGGTGATCCGCGACTCGGTAAATCGACATGTCTTGCTGCGGTTGGGCGGGGAGCAGTGTTGTTCCAGTGTCTAGGTGTACACGCATTGTCCTAGGTCTAAAGACTGGAAATTAGAATAATAAATTACATCGCTAGGATGTTTAATGCAACCTTGGCAGTATGTACATCGGAAAACTACCTTGCATCACGATTCACCACAAACGTAGAATGAGCAGCGATCCTCTCCACCAGTAAACCTTACGTGGTTTAATGGATAGTCCCGGTAATAGTCGGATAGGAAATCCAGAGAAAGCTCCAATTATATAAAAAAGACCTCCCTTCACAAGGGTCCTTAGTTCTTTGGAATCCTTTGACATAAATTAGCAAGGGGAATATATATATTTTGAAAGTGCTTGGGTAGCAGCGATCTTCGAAACTAAAGCACGAAAACAAAACAACCATGATTACAGGCAAGCCAGAGAAAACTGAATTGTTAGGAAGCATTCAGTAAGACAAAATATAGGAGCCTCAATATTCAATCTAACTGGATTTTATCGGTGTTGAAGGACATCCAATATGGCTTTTACTACCTTTTGTCGAACATAAAGCAAAATAAAGCTAGTCTCTAACAATAAGATCCGGTGTAGTGTAACGGCTATCATACCTGTCTTTCACACAGGAGATCGGGGTTCGATTCCCCGCACCGGAATTTCTTTTTTCGCATTCATTTTTGTCAACCGCAAAATGAATGCCTCAGGCTTAAATCCAGAGGGAAATTACTAGCAATACCCTCTTTATCCCCTACTTTACTGCTTTACGACGAGATGTTGCACTCTAAAATCTGGCACCCGGACTTCTACCTATAAATAACTACATACACTATGTTGCACCAACGGTGCCCGGGTCTCATACTCTTCGTCGTTTTCAAACCCTAATAAGTGACTGTATTTGGAAAGGCGCCGGAATAATAATATTCCTAATACATTTGTAATACTGTATTAAGTATAATATATTTTTGACACAGTATATTGGTCTATACAGCGATCCACAGTTGGCTGGAAGCTTCTATGGCTGCTACCCACACCGCCTTACAGATCTGGTAATCTTACGACAACCACCTTCCTGTTCCTATCCGACCATATAGTATTATGTACCTCGAGAAGATGAGCCGTAGCCCTGTCAACAGCTATATCGCTTCTCAAGCTGGTACTTGGGAACAATCTCCCTTGTATACACCCATCTCTGGAAACTTTGGCCGCAAATATACACTATCTAAGAACGGCTTTTCTCCCGCTTATCAGTTCAGCGGATATTCAATAACGTAACCGGTAAGCGATCCGCACCTGTAAGCGACGCGCACCTCAGCCGCCATATACAAAATTTAAATGGTCAAAAATCCATCAATTTTGATTCCTATATAAAACTGAATAGTTCTACCGATTCAGACAGTGCGTAATTTTATGGCCCTGTACACCACAGCCAGAACATTTAGGTGGGGCGCGCCTGGGAGCCGATTCAGTAGGCAGAACCCTATCTGCCTGTATAGCTTCATCTGCCTGATTTCGGCGCTCTATAAGGATTCGGGCTTCAGATACTGATTTTCCTCCTTCAAAAGCAATCTATTTAGTAGAACACTTTCGCTTTCTAGCCTGGCTTTCATGTACAGCCTGATATTGATCAAGTTCATGCTTCAATATCGCTGTATTATGGAAAGCTTGTTCAGCGCCTTTCATTATTTGATTAAGGCGAGCTTTGATAGGCGAATCAGGACTATTATACCGATTTTTAAACAGTATTTTAGAGCTAGATTCTGACCTTTTCAGCTGCTTGACTATATGAGGTGGTATAGGCACCGAGCTGCCTTGACTGCTAGGTCTACTACTCGGAGGTGTAGGGGTCTTAAGCTGAATTGTCAGCTCAGATAGAACACGCTCAGGAGGTAGAGGAACTAGGCCAGTAGCTCTAAAAGCACTATAAATATTGCTGCTGGTAAAGGCCTCTACATAGGCCTCAGGATATGCGTTCAGGAAATCAAGTTTATCGATATAATTAAGGTCGCAGTGTATCTTAGATTGAACTAGGTCTCCGTACACGCGATTTAAAGGCCAGAAAACAGCAACATCAAACGGTAGAAGCTTATAAGAAGCGTGCGTAGGTATGTAGATTGGTATAATATTATTTTCTGCGCAGGTCTGATTGAATTGAGGTGTCAGATAACTATTATTGCTATCTAGAATAAGTAAACAGTATTTTCCCAGAGATTGGCCCGTAGTAAGAGATATAAAATGATTCTGTAGCCAACATAGGCTAATATTATTGCTTGCCCAGCTATTAGGACTATCCTCGATTCTCCAATCAGAAGGAACCTTGTTATCCTTGTACCAGGTGTCAAGGAAATATCTACTATTCAGGGTAGAAGACCTGTCAACTAGGTAAGGGTACGTAGGCTGAAAGCTAAGCAGTAGATATCAGGCAGACA